GTCTCAAAAAAAAAAAAAAAGGCTTACAGTGAGGTGTTGTGGTTCATGCCTGTAGTCTTAGCACTTTGGGAGGTTGAGGTGGGCAGATCACTTGAGTCCAGGAGTTCAAGACCAGCCTGGGCACCATGGCAAAATCCTGTCTCTACTTTAAATACAAAATTTAGCTGGGTGTGGTGATGCATGCCTGTAATCCCAGCTACTCAGAACGCTAAGGGAGGAGAATCACTTGAGCGTAGGAGGCAGAGTTTGCAGTGAGCCAAGATCACACTACTGCACTCCAGCCTGGACAACACAGTAAGACTCAATCTCAAAAAAAAAAATTTATATATATATATATATATATATATATATATATATATATGGCAAAAAAATGTTGGCCGAGCATGGTGGCTCACACCTGTAATCCAACACTTTGGAAGACTGAGGTGGACTAACCAGTTGAGGTCAGGAGTTTAAGAGCAGCCTGGCCAACATGGTGAAACCCCGTCTCTACTAAAAACACAAAAATTAGCTGGGCGTGGTAGCACCGGCCTGTAGTCTCAGCTACTCTATTCACCAGGCTGAGGCAGGAGAAGGTTGAGGCAGGAGAAGTGCTTGAACCCAAGAGGCAGAGGTTGCAGTGAGCTGAGATTGCGCCACTGCACTCCAACCTGGGCAACAGAGCAAGGCTCCATCTCAAAAGTAAATAAAAATAAGTAAAAATAAAACATACAGCCAGGCATGATAGCTCACGCCTACAATCCCAGCACTTTGGAAGGCCAAGGCAGTCAGATCACCTGAGATTGGGAGTTTGAGACCACCCTGGCCAACAGGGTGAAACCCCATCTCTACTAAAAATAAAAAATTAGCTGGGTCTGGCACACACCTATAGTTCCAGCCACTCAGGAGACTGAGGCAGGAGAATCACTTGAACCTATGAGGCAGAGGTTGCAGTGAGCAGAGACTGCACCACTGCACTGCAGCCTGGGCAACAGAGTGAGACTCCATCTTGAAAAAAAAAACAAAACTCTAAAGATCATCTGAGCCTTTAGTAAATCATAATCTTTTTGCTGGTTGAGGGTTGCCTTGATGTTGAGGGCCTTGCTCTGGATTATGCTTTGATTTAGGGGAATGTTGTGGTTGGTTTGATCTATTCAGACCACCAAAACTTTCTCCATATCAGAAATAAGGCTGTTTCACTTTTTTTTTTTTTTTTTTAACGTGATGGAGTCTTGCTCTGTTGCCCAGGCTGGAGTGTAGTGGCTCAAGCCCAGCTAACTGCAACCTCCACCTCCCGGATTCAAGCGATTCTCCTGCCTCATCACCCAGAACAACTGGGATTACAGGCGCCTACCACCATGCCCAGCTAATTTCTGTATTTTTAACAGAGACAGTGTTTCACCATATTGGCTATGCTGGTCTCAAACCCCTGACTTAAGTGATCTGCCCACCTCAGCCTCCCAAAGTGCTTGGATTATAGGCATAAGCCACCCTACCTGGCCTTTTTTTTTTTTTTTTTTTTTTAGGCAGAGTCTTGCTCTGTTGCCAAGGCTGGAGTGCAATGGCACAATCTCAGCTCACTGCAACCTCTGCTTCTTGGGTTAAAGTGATTCTCATGCCTCAGCCTCCCAAGTAGCTGAGAATACAGGCACATCACGGTGCCTGGCTAATTTCTGTATTTTAAATAAAGACAGGGTTTCATCATGTTGGCCAGGCTGGTTTCGAACTCCTGGCCTCAACTGATCGGCCACCTCAGCCTTCCAAAGTGCTGGGATTACAGGCATGAGCCACTGTTCCAGGCCACCACAAAACGTCAGTTTGTTAAAAAAGAAATAAAGCAAAGCACCATAAGATGGGCTGGGCGCACTGGCTCATGCCTGTATCCCAGCACTTGGGGAGGCCGAGGTGGGCAGATCACAAGATCAGGAATTTGAGACCAGCCTGGCCAGCAGAGTGAAACCCCATCTCTACTAAAAATACAAAAATTAGCTGGGCATGGTGGCTTGCCTGTGGTTCTAGCTACTCAGGAGGCTGAGGCAGGAGAATCGCTTGAACCTGAGAGGTGGAGGTTGCAGTGAGCCGAGATAACACCACTGCACTCCAGCCTGGACAACAGAGCAAGAGCAAGACTGACTCAAAAAAAAAAAAAGAGAGATGTATTTCAATGTATAAATGAGGCACAACTACCACTGAAGTAACATAGCCAGACATTTGCACGTGTAGTTCTGAACAAATCAATTTAGCTACATTCCAGGAAAATTTAGGGTACACTTATGGTAATCGTTACACCGCTCACAAAGATTTCCAGTTCTGCTTTTCCTAGACAGAAGTAGGTCTAAATTTCCCAACTCCCTAGAAATTAAACATGGCCATGTGATTTGCTTTCACCTATGAAATATGCATAAGTGACCTTTGTCATTCAAGGCTGGTGCAGGTACTGTTTATGCAAAACTCCGACCAGGGTCCTGAGAGACTTCTATGAGTTGGGCAGAGTACTCACTCCATCTACATTGACATGTAGTATGGTGGGAAACCAACTTTTAGGTTAAGCCATTGAGATTTGGGGGTTACTTGTTACTGAAGGTTACTTGTAACCTTGCCTGATAAATATTGAAACTGTTCCCTGCAAAAAGAGTTTATGTTTTTCTGAAAAATAAAATTCGGTCCCAAGCTCTGATCATTATAAACAAGCTTTTCACCTACATAAATGTCCAGTACCATTGGAAAGTCATGAAGGATTCAGGACAATTCTGAATCACTATTTTCATCCCTGTCTACCCACACCCAGTAAACACTAGAAGGATGCCCTCAATCTTTATACAGTTCAAACACCAACTCTACAAATTCCCAAAACATTCCCAGACGAACTGGCCTTCAGGGACTAGACATATCATGAAAACTAGTGCGGTGGGCTGGACCAAGAGAGGTCCAGGGAGCAGCTGGGCTTCTAAAGAGGCAACACAGTTCACTCCTAATAGTTTGGTGCCATCAGGGAATATACCATGAATTACCAAATCTTCTAGTGATTCCAGGGAAAGCTAAAATGCAGATTCTATGTGGAATCTTTTGATTTCTAAATATTGGCAACAACTTTTAAAGATTTTTAAATATTCTGGGAACCAAACAAAACAGTTCTGCTGGTTTGGTGGGGCTCATGTTGCCTCACTTTGCAAAGTGTTAAGAGCCAGTGAAATTTCTGTGTTTTTTTGAGACAGGTGTCACTTTGTCACCCAGGCTGGAGTGCAGTGGCCATGATCTCCACTCACCGTAGGCTCGACCTCCCGGGCTCAAGCAAACCTCCCACCCTCAGCCCCTCCAACGAGCTGGGAGTACAGCTGCCCCGCCACCGGGCCCAACTAATTATTATTATTATTATTGGTATTTTAGTAGATATGGAGTTTCACCATGTTGGCCAAGCTGGTCTGAACTCTTGGTGTCAAGTGATCCACCTGCCTCAGCCTTCCAAAGTGCTGAGATTAAAGGCGTGTGCTACCCCACACAGCCCCCCAAAAAAGTTGTTTGTTTGTTTTTTGGACAGTCTCTGTCGCCAGGCTGGAGTGCAATAGCCTGATCTTGGCTCACTGCAATCTCCACCTCCCAGGTTCAAGCGATTCTCCTGCCTTAGCCTCCCCAGCAGCTGGGACTACAGGCACCCACCACTATGCCCAGCGAATTTTTGTATTTTTAGTAGAGGGGGTTTCACCATGTTGGCCAGGATGGTCTCGATCTCTCGACCTCGTGATCCGCCTGCCTCGGCCTCCCAAGGTATTAGGATCACAGGCCTGAGCCACCGCACCTGGTCAAAATTTTACTTTGTTTAGTCAAATTCTCTTCTTTTCCAAGTGAAGAAACGGATTGAATAACTCTGTCCAAGTGTACAGTGACTTACCCAGGCCACACAGTTGTATACGATAGTTAGTGACAATCGCTAACATCTGCCATGTGGTCCTTACTGCAAATCTCGTTTGTGTGAGTGTGGGGAGGGGGGGAGAGGGGAAAGAGAAAGTGGGGGAGGGAGACAGAGACAGAGACAGACAGACACGGGAGTTTCGCTCTTCTCGCCCAGCCTTGAGTGCAATGGCCGGATGTTGGCTCACCGCAACCTCCGCCTCCTGGGTTCAAGCGATTTTGGGAGCCTGCCTCAGCCTCTCAAAGTGCTGGGATTACAGGGGTGAGCCACCGCGCCCGGCTGCAAATCTTATTTAATAACGAGGTCGGCTTTTTGTAATCCCACTTAACTAATTAATAGGAGAAGCCAGCTCTGATTTCCAGTCCACTATGGTGCACTCTTTCCTGCCAAGCCGACGTAGTCATTCGATTAAAAAAAAAAAAAAATTCCTGCTTTCCCGCCTCGCCTGTGTGTTTCCTTAGGCGCCCTCTCAGGGCCTGTTCTGATGAGTGCCGCAGAAAAATGACCAAGTGGAAAACACAGAACATGAAATGAAAATTTAAAAGAGCAAATGGTGTCACAAGGAAAACGAAGGCCGGGGGACCCCGTGAAGCGCCAGGCAGGGTGCACACCGGTCCTGGGAGAAAGTTCCAGAAGAACTTCCCGCGAACAGGTCCCGCCGGCGACCGGGAATACATGCACTTCTTATGTTACGATTTGGAATTTCCCGAACCTTCTGAAGCGGAAGGAAGGCTTGGCGGTGAGGAGGGAGTCGAACCCGGAAAACCGAAGAGAAAGGCGGTGCCCAGCCGCGCCTGCCCGCCCGCTGGGTCACGTGACACGGCCAAGATGGCCGACCGGGAAGGAGGCTGCCATGTGGGTTTGGAGCCGGAGCCCGGGCCGCAGCCGGGGCCCGGGTCAGAGCTCGAGCCGGAAGAGGAGTTCGAGGTTGTGGACCGAAGCCAGCTGCCCTGCCCGGGCGACCTGCGGACCGCGACGAGGCGGCGGGAGGCGGAGAGCTGGTCCGCGCCCATCCTGACCCTGGCCCGCAGGGCCACGGGGAACCTCTCGGCGAGCTGCGGGAGCGCGCTGCGTGCGGCCGCGGGGCTGGGCGGCGGGGACGACGGGGACGGCGCGGCGCGCGCAGGTAGGCTCGGGCCAGGTCTGTCCCGCGGCGGCCCCGCGTGTCCCCGCTGGCCGCCGGCGCGGGCGCGGTGGGGGCCGGGCTGGGAGGGCGCGGCCTGCCCGGCAGGTTACGGGCGGCGCCCGGCCGTGCGGGGTCTTTACCCTGGCGGTCGAGCCGAGACGGCCCCACGGCAGCCCCCCGTGCCTGGGCGCGCTCCCGCACCCGCGCGTCTGCGCTCACCCACGAACTAGGTGACGGACGTGTGCGCGTGCGGGCTCCGGGACTCCGGTAACTCCACGCACGGGACGGAGCCGGCACGCTTCTGCTTTTCAGCCGCTCGGGGCGGTGAGGGCGTGGGCTGCGCGCCGCGGACCAGCCGTGCCTCCGCTCCCCTCTGGCTGTGAGACATCCGATGAGCTCTTAAAGACCGTTCAGCCCTTGTCACGAATAGAGTGCCAGCGTATCAGTGATAGTAAGATTTTGATTTAGCCCTCTAACACCAGGCATCCAGAGCTGTGATGTCTAATACAGCAGCACGTCTATGTTTTGTTTGTTTGTTTTGTTATTGTTGGGGTTTTGTGTTTTTTTTCTTTGTTTTCGAGACGGAGTCTCGATCTGTCGGCCAGGCTGGCGTGCAGTGGCGCGATCTTGGCTCACTACAACTTCTGCCTCCCGGGTTGAAACGGTCTCTGTCGCAGCCTCCCAAGTAGCTGGGATTACAGGTGCCCGCTACCACGCCCGGCTAATTTTTTTGTGTTTTTGGAGACGAGGTTTCACCACCTTGGCCAGACTGGTCTTGAACTTCTAACCGTGATCCATCCACCTCAGCCTCTCTAGGTGCTGGGATTACAGGCGTGAGCCACCGTGCCTGGCTAGCAGCACGCATATGTTTAAATGTAAAATTAAATTCTATTGAAAAATTACATCTCTCAATTTTTTTTTTTTTCCCCTGAGGTGGAGTTTCGCTCTTGTTGCCCAGGCTGGAGAGCAATGGTGCGTTATCGACTCACCGCAACCTCCGCCTCCCGAGTTCAAGCAATTCTCCTGCCTCAGGCTCCAGAGTAGCTGGAATTACAGGCATGCATCACCATGACCAGCTAATTTTTTTTTTTTTTTTTTATCGTTCTGTCGCACAGACTAGAGTGCAGTGGCTCAATCTCAGCTCCCTACAACCTCAGCCTCCTGGGTTCAAGTAGTTCTCCTGCGTCAGCCTCCTGAGTAGCTGGGACTACAGACATCTCCACACTCGGCTAATTTTTCTATTTTTAGTAGAGATGGGGTTTTATCATCTTGCCCAGGCTGGTCTCAAACTCCAGACTTTAGGTGATCTACCTGCCTCAGCCTCCCAAAGTGTTGGGATTACAGGCTTGAGCCACTACACCTGGCCATTGCCTAACTACACTTGTATTTTTAGTAAGGATGGGTTTCTCCATGTTAGTCAGGCTGGTCTTGAACTCCCGACCTCATACCATTCCGCCGCCCCCCACCCCCCTACCTTGGCATCCCAAGGTGCTGGGATTATAGGTTTGAGCCACCATGCCCGGCCGAATTCCTCAATTTCTAACTGAATCAAATTGAAATTGAGTACTTTTAAATTGGAATAAAAATTGAGTTCCTGGATTTCAGCGGCCACATTTTAAATACTCAGTGGCCCATGTCTGTCCATTGGCTACTAATATGGGATAGTGCAGCATAGAAAATTTCCAACTTCCTAGAAAATGCTGGAACAGAGCCGAGGAAAGGCTGTAGTGCCTTCCAAGAAGCATCATAGCACACCCTTGAGGTTTCTTGATTCCTCCCCATCCACTGGTACTTTGGCTGATTACTTCAGATATTGAATTGTGATTTTCAGTGGTTAAGAATGATTAATGAGTAAAGTTAAAAGGCTGACTTGTTTTGAGATCCTGGCAGTGGAAAAGTAGCATTACAGGGTGATGAGATTCTGTGCAGCCCGGGAATCTAGTTCCCACCAGCTTTACACCTATTCCCAAGACTTTCACACATCAGTGGATGCTGGATTGCATACTCATTGACAGTCAGTACTGAAAGTCAGGCCTCTTAGATATTTCATGGCAGGAGTAAGCAAATAATAAATGTTAGTTCCCTGATGAGTAAAATTTCCTTCCTTTAATGCAAATTAAAAAGATGAAATGTGTCTGTACGTAGCACAGAATAATAAGTGTTTGCTGAAAAAAACCCATATTTGAAAAATACCTGTTTGCCATCTATGGAAGTGATACAAACAATAGCCAACTCTTATATTGTCCTTCCAAGGTGCCAGACATTAGTCTTAAATCTGCACAAGTATTCATTTATTCCTCACAACAACCCTATGTGATAGCAGGACTAGCTTCATGTGTGTACGATTAGTGCAGGTTGATCACAGTGGTCGAAAGGGCCAGGTACTCCGAAACGTCCCATGCTTGAAATTCTTAATTTTATCTTTGAATTTGTAGCCTTTGAGTGAAGTCAGTCCAATGGGACAGGTTCTCACAGCTGACCCACTTTGAGCTGCCCTGGGGCTTCTCCCTATCCTCCCTGATCCTACTCTTGCCCAGGCAGCACTGGGGTTGCACCTTCTGAATCTCAGGGCAGGGTGGCGGGTACCATAGCACATTAGGCAGGCGAGTGGACAGGGGCCTCTCACTCTTACCATCCCTGCAGGGAAGTTGCAATCCATTAGGGCTGTGGTAAGGGGATACTGACTTCTGCACTTTGCTCCAGGCCTGCAATTTTGCACTGGGCCTTGCAAATTATGTAGATGGCACTGAATGATGAGTACCAGTATTATCCCTGTTTTATAAAGAGAGAAACTGAATTAAAGAGAAGTAACTTCACCAAGTGTAAAATGTCAATGTATATATACCCTATGGATTTTAAAAATTAATGTAAGGAAAGTATTAATAACTGCCACTCAATCTAGCAAAAACTGTGACCATGGCTTACAAAGGCATGAAATTCAGGGAACTGCTGGGTAGAGCAGTGTGGCTGGTCCCAGAGGTCATCAGGATTTGAAGCCGTCAGGTAGGACAGGAGCAGAGACAGGGAAAGGAGAAGGGCCAAGGGCAGCGCACTCTACAGCAGCCCAAGAAAAGCAGTTTGGGAGAAACACGGTGACACCGCTTCAACCCGGGCCAGGCCCAAGGCTGACTCATGATCTCTTTCCCCACTCATCTGCCTACACAGCAATGAAAACAGGCAGGACTTTCAGAAGGAGCAGTTTAGGAGCAGACACTGAATGTGAACAGCACTCTTGCTGCATAACATTTTTTTCAGTGGTAGAGGCTAAAGGAAATGCTGTGGAATGTTTTGAATACTTGTTTTAAAATGTCCCATGTGGGGTCTGGTATGTGATTGCATTGTCCAAGGTATCCTATTTGGTGTGGGGGATTCTTTTTTAAGGTAATAAACGAACATGAATTTTTTTTTTTTTTTTTTTTGAGTCAGAGCCTCACTCTGTTGCCCAGGCTGGAGTGCAGTGGCGTAATCTTGGCTCGCTGCAACCTTTGCCTCCAGAGTAGCTGGGACTACAGGCACCTGCCACCACAGCCAGCTAATTGTTGTTGTGGCTTTGTTTTGTTTTTGTATTTTTAGTAGAGATGGGGTTTTACTTTTACTGTGTTAGCGAGGATGGTCTTCATCTCCTGACCCTGTGATCCACCCGCCTCGGCCTCCCAAAGTGCTAGGATTACTAGAGTGAGCCACTGTGCCCAGCTAATGAACATGAGTTTTAAAAATCAAACCACACAAAATAATATTCGGTTGGGCGCAGTGACTCAAGGCTATAATCCCAGCACTTTGGGAGGCTGAGGCAGGTGGATCACTTGAGGTCAGGCATTCAAGACCAGCCTGGCCAACATGGTGAAACCCCATTTCTACTAAAAATACAAAAATTAGCTGGGCATGGTGGCGCACTCCTGTAATCCTAGCTACTACTCAGGAGGCTGAGGCAGGAGAATGGCTTGAAACTGGGAGGCGGAAGTTGCAGTGAGCAGAAATCGCACCACTGCACTCCAGCCTAGGTAACAAGAGCAAAACTCTGTCTCAAAACAAAACAAAACAAAACTGACAAATACTGAGTCTTCCTTCCCAGAAAATGCCCCCAGTACTATTGTATCTTTGGGTGTTCTGCACATAGCACATGTGCTTTCCTCAAACACTGGCTGTTTTCACACAGGCAATAGGATGTCCACACAAGGAATACATCTTGCTTTTTAGAGTAATGCTTCCCAAAGGATGAGTAACAAAAATGCATGTTATAAGAATTAGCATGCTGGCAGGGTGCAGGTGGCTCACACCTGTAATCCCAGTACTTTGAGAGGCCGAGGAAGGAAAAAGAAAAAGAGAGAGAGAGAGAGAGGCCAACGAGGGGAAGATTGCTTGAGCCCAAGAATCTGAGACAAGCCTGACAATTTATTTGGCAATTCAGTAAGTGTAGAACCTCGTGATAATTCTGTGTGTCATGTTAAACTATTATTAATGAAGCTTAGAGATGTGAATAGTTTGGCCAAGGTCACAAAGCCAGTAAAATTGAGAGAGGGAACCCCTAAAAGATTGCTCCAGGTTTAATTTGCCATGACTCTAACTTAAGTACTAATGGGAACAGGTAACCCATAGTAGGGAATGCACAAGATAGTAAAACACTGCAGGCAGTTCTCCCAGAGATAGCGTCACCCAGCGCTGATTGTCGGGAACACTGGTCTTAACATTTTTTGCTCATATGATCCCCTAAGAAAACTGCAACTCTTTTTTTTTTTTTTTTTGAGCCAGCATTTTGCTCTTGTCGTCCAGGCTAGAGTGCAAGGGCACAGTCTTGGCTCACTGCAGCCTCCACCTCCTAGGTTCAAGCAATTCGTCTGCCTCAGCCTTCCAAGTAGCTGGGATTACAAGCATGCGCCACCACGCCCAGCTAATTTTTTGTTTTTAGTAGAGATGGGTTTTCACCATGTTGGCCAGGCTGGTTTTGAACTCTGGACCTCAAGTGATCTGCCCGCCTCAGCCTCCCAAAATGCTGGGATTACAGGCGTGAGACACTGCGCCCAACCGAAAACCCCGACTTTTAACGGTAACATAAAATTCTTCTTCTTTTTTTTTTTTTTTTTTTTGAGACAGAGTCTTGCTCTGTCGCCAGGCGTCAGGCTAGAGTGCAGTGGTGGGATCTTGGCTCACTGCAACCTCCGTCTCCTGGGTTCAAGCAGTTCTGCCTCAACCTCCTGAGTAGGTGGGACTACAGGCGTGCACCACCATGCCCAGCTAACTTTTGTATTTTAGTAGAGACGGGGTTTCACCATGTTGGCCAGGGTGGCCTCAAACTCCTGACCTCAGGTGATCTGCCCACCTCGGCCTCCCAAAGTGCTGGGATTACAGGTGTAAGCCACGTCGCCCAGCCTCTTCATCATATTTTAAAGTTGCTTAGAATTCATTTTCTGGATTAATGTAAATATTGACTTTTTAAAATAAAACTCTTACATTGTTTTTTGAAATGTATCAAATGGTATGTAAATACCTTAATGAATTGGTAATTACTACCATCCATCTTTAAAATAGCAAGTTATTTAATATTTGAAAGTTTTACATTTTCCTTTTTATTCATTGAACTTGAATTTCCATCCCATTTCTGCCATAGAATTAATGTAATAGATTTGTGTTTTTAAAAGTGTTATTGCTCATCCTATTATGTCTCATCAAAAAGTATGTAAATAAAGTTTAATAAATTTTTCTTGTGACTAAAGCTCTAAATGTATAAAAATTTTTCTTCTAGAGTGAATACCATTAAGCTTATTAGTAATGCTACGTTGATAACAGGAACATAAATATAGTTTTATAAAGAATTACACATACATGGCCGGGCGCGGTGGCTCACGCCTGTAATCCCAGCACTTTGGGAGGCCGAGGAGGGTGGATCACAAGGTCAAGAGATCGAGACCATCCTGGTCAACATGGTGAAACCCTGTCTCTACTAAAAATATAAAAAATCAGCAGGGCATGGTGGCGTGTGCCTGTAATCCCAGCTACTCAGGAGGCTGAGGCAGGAGAATTGCCTGAACCCAGGAGGCGGAGGTTGCGGTGAGCTGAGATCGCGCCATTGCACTCCAGCCTGCGTAACAAGAGTGAAACTCCATCTCAAAAAAAAAAAAAAAAAAAAGAATTACACATACATTTTCCTTGAATTGCTTTTTTTTTTTTTTTTTTTTTTTTAAGATAGGATCTTACTCTGTTGCCCAGGCTGGAGTGCAGTGGTTCAGTCTCAGCTCACTACAGCCTCTACCTCCCAGGTTCATGCAATTATCCTGTTTCAGCCTCCCAAGTAGCTGGGACTACAGGTGCCCACCACCACGCCCCGCTACTTGTTATATTTTTCGTAGAGATGGGGTTTCGCCATGTTGGCCAGGCTGGTCTCAAACTTCTGACCTCAGGTGATCTGCCCACCTTGGTCTCCCAAAGTGTTGGGATTATAGGCAAGAGCCACCATGCCCAGCCAATGAATTGCATCTCTTAACGACATTAATGGTGTTGGTTTTTATAATTAACATGTATCTGTAGATGAATATATATGATTTACTGCTAAAGTCTGATAGAATTCAGCATCAAATTTTAATCCTTTTTTTTTTTTTTTTTCTTGTTTTAGCAATGTTGGTCATCTTTGAACTCTTTGCAAGTTATATGCCCCAAATCACACTGATGTATTGCCAAAAATTATTTTTTTCCCTTATTTTCATTTAAAGCAAATAATTGAAAATTACCTGAACTGCAACCTAATCATATTATGGACATTTTCAACCTTTAGGAGTTACAAAAAAAAAAAAAGTTTTACTAAGACTTATCAAGTGGTAGTTTCACTTCTTATTCTTTCACTTAGGCACTTTGTTTAACCCAGAATACTCAAAATGGTTGGAGACATCTAAATATTCCTTATTTCATTCACCTTTGCCAATGCAATACTTTTTGACAAAAATACTTTTAATCATGTATTTCAGATCCATTTTCATCAAAAACTTAGCTGCAGTTTAGGCTCATTTAAGTTATGGAAAATGGCTATCAAGCTAATGGCACATCTTAGGGTTTTGAATAGTGACTGGCTGAACATAATTACATGTATTTATTGGGGGGGAAAATTGAACTTTCTAAATTCAGGATACCCAAATAGAGGGATAGAGACCATCCCTCTTCCCCAAGACCAAGCTTAACTACTATAAAGCAGTAAAAGATTGGTCTTAACGTTTTTGGTTACTTAATCATCAAGGGCATCCACCTCCGTTTGGTGTGTGAGACCTATTGCACCCCAGGTCACTGCATCAAGAGGAAGACAGGTTAGGGAGTGCATTGCCCTTCTGTAGAGGGAGGAGAAGGAGTGCCTGTGAAACTTGGGGATCTGGAAATTGAGTTCCTTAAAACATCTGGGCATGCCTAGCTTTGGCAAGACTACTGTATACGTATTCCAGTTTCAAGACCACTAGATTATGGAACTGGGCTTAGTGTCTTTTTTAAGGATAAATCTTTACAAATTGCTTTTACAATTATTGCCCTCTTCAGGGTTTCTCCCTTCTCTTAAGTTTTACAAGTTTTATTTCCTTTGCTAATCATTAAAGTTTTAGAATTTATAAATGTAATACATAGGCTTCTCTCGAAATTTAAAAATAATTTGAGGCCGGGCGCGGTGGCTCAAGCCTGTAATCCCAGCACTTTGGGAGGCCGAGGCGGATGGATCACGAGGTCAAGAGATCGAGACCATCCTGGTCAACAAGGTGAAACCCCGTCTCTACTAAAAATACAAAAAAATTAGCTGGGCATGGTGGCGCGTGCCTGTAATCCCAGCTACTCAGGAGGCTGAGGCAGGAGAGTTGCCTGAACCCGGGAGGCGGAGGTTGCGGCGAGCCGAGATCGCGCCATTGCACTCCAGCCTGGGTAACGATCGAAACTCCGCCTCAAAATAATAATAATAATAATTTGAGAGGCGGAGGCAGGCGGATCACCTGAGGTTGGGGGTTTATAACCAGCCTGACCTATATAAGGAAACCCCGTCTCTACTAAAAATACAAAATTAGCCGGGCATGGTGGCGCATGCCTGTAATCCCAGCTACTCCGGAGGCCACGGCAGGAGAATCACTTGAACCCGGGAGGTGGAGGTTGCTTGCGGTGAGCCGAAATTGCGCCATTGCACTCCAGCCTGGGCAACAAGAGCAAAAGAACTCCGTCTCAAAAAAATTAAAAAATAAGTAAATAATTATACCACTCCCAACCAAATGCTTTACTTAATCCACTTTTAACCCTCTCCACAACCAAGATAAAATGCTTAGGCTGTTTCTTCTTTCCCAGCAGCTCTCCCCCTACCTTCTTGGGTTTTGCTGAGATAATTTTCAAGTTTTAGTCCCCCGGTATCTCAATGATACTTATTTAAGACTTTTACTACAAGTTCACAGCCATAATATTTTAGATTTAACTGTAGTTAAGTATAAAAAATATAGTACGTATAAATATGCTCTTTAATTGTTCATATTAATCAATGTTCATGAAATAAAACAGGCAAACAAAGGATTAATATCCAAAATATACAGGCCAGTAAGACAAAGGCAAGCAAATCAACACAAAAGTCAATTGAGCAAGCAATTCACAGAAGAAATACTAGGAGACAATAAACAGAAGCTGTTTAACCTCAGTAGTAGTTGGACAGCTGCAAGCCAAAAACATTACGATTCTCCAGCCCGCAATCCAATTGGCAAATATTTCTAAAACAACGTAGGCGCACGCCTGCCCCCGGGAGGGCCGCGCTTGGCACTTTGAGATCTAAATTTTTAGTTTCTAGGATGCCAGCTTACTGGGTTTGAAAGAACATTGGGCAAGCACGTATAGATATCCGATAATAATTGCAGACAGTCTTTATTATACTCTCAAAACAATGCGACAAGATAATGGGAGTTGAAATGGAACTGTCTCTGAATTCATTTGACCCCAACGGCTTTACTTACCAAAAACAAAAAAAGTGCGTAAAACCTAAAATCGTACACTAGTAGTGGACGAAAGATCGGCGACAAGAATTTGAGTGGGCCTGGAACTGAGGGGAAAATGCTTCCCTGCAGGTACTGGGCAAGAGAGGACGCTCGAGAAGCCTTCCAGGCGGGGTGTGCACCTGCTAGTGCTGGACAGAGGATGCAAAATGGCGCCCACTAGCTCCGTGGGCGTGGCCTTGAGCTGGAGTGGCCGAATAGGAATGTTCGGAGGCGGGACGCTTTCCCCGCCACGCCCTCCAAGAGCTTGGGGCGGGGCTTCCTGTAGTTAGCGCCCTTCCATTGGTCGAAACGGACCGGGGTTGGGAGAAACCAATCGCTGCCAGTCTTGCTAAAGCCGTCACCGTAGCAACGCGCGGAGCCGCCTGGGAGAGGCCTCTGGAGCAGAAGGCCGAGTGGCCCGAGGGCCCGCCGTCCAGGTGACGGGCTGTGGTTTTTCGGGATCCGGGACTGGTTACTGCCAATGCCGGCCATCCGCCCGCCAGCACGTCCGTGCCCTGAGCAGACCGCCTGGCCTCCTGCCTGACCCGTCTTCTCACCGTTGCCGGGAGTCTGACCTCAGTCTGCTAACGAAGCTGTCCCTGCTCCTGCCCCACAGCTTCTAAGTGCCAGATGATGGAGGAGCGTGCTAACCTGATGCACATGATGAAACTCAGTATCAAGGTCTTGCTCCAGTCGGCTCTGAGCCTGGGCCGCAGCCTGGATGCGGACCATGCCCCGTTGCAGCAGTTCTTTGTAGTGATGGAGCACTGCCTCAAACATGGGCTGAAAGGTGAGCCTGAGGGGGCGTTTGGGAACCTGGAAATTCGGGCTAGGTATTTGCTCAGCATTTATTCATCAATGCCAGACATGGTTCTAGGTGCTGGAATGCCAGCAGTGTACAGAACAGATACGGTTCCTGTCCTCAGAAGCGGCATTCTAGAGCAGCACTGGCCAATGGAAATACCATGCAAGCTATATAGGCAATTTTAAGTTTTCTAATAACCAGGTTTCTTTAAAAATGTTAGATGAGATACCTTTCTATGGGGATAAAAGAAAAATTTTAAGAAAAAAACGGTTAAAAGCCTCATTTGTTGAAATATTTTGAAATTAATTTTAGTAATATATTTTATGGAACCCAGTATATCCAAAATATCGTTCAACACATAATCAGTATTTAAAAGCCTTATTAGGCCAGATGCGGTTACTCACGCCTGTAATCCCAGCACTTTGGGAGGCCAAAGAGGGCAGAGACCACCCTGGCCAACATGGTGAAACCCTGTCTCTACTAACAACACACAAATTAGCCGGATGTGGTGATGTACTCCTATAATCCCAGGTACTTGGGAGGCTGATGCAGGAGAATCACTTGAACTTGGAAAGCAGAGGTTGCTGTGGGGCCAGATGAGATTGACCCACTGCACTCCAGCCTGGGCAACAGAGCAAGAGTCTGTCTCAAAAAATAAAAATTAATTAAGTAAAAGCCTTGTTGATGAGAAGTTTTACATTCTTTTTTATACTAAGGCTTAAAAATTCACTGTATGTCTTATACTTAAACACATCTCAATTCAGTTCCTCTGTTGCACTAGCCACATCTCAAGTACTTAGTAGCACATGTGACTTGTGACTGCCTTGGACAGCGATGCTCTAGAGGATGAAATGGAGAATAAAGGTAGAAATAAACATAATTACAAAATGCTACCCTATCAAGGAAGCAAAATGGGTTAAATGATAGAAAACCAAGGAAGGAAGCTTTCAAATAGGGTAGAAGAAGGTCTTGGCTGGGCACAGTAACTCACGCCTGTAATCCCAGCACTTTGGGAGGCAGAATCGGGTGGATCACTTGAGGTCAGGAGTTTGAGACCAGCCTGGCCAACATAGAGAAACCCCGTCTCTACCAAAAATACAAAATTAGCCAGGCATGGTGGTGCATGCCTATAATCCCAGCTACTCAGGAGGCTGAGGCAAGAGAATTGCTTGAACCATCTCTTGAACCAGGAGGCGGAGGTTGCAGTGAGCCGAGATTATGCCATTGCACTCCAGCCCGGGCAACAAGAGCAAAACTCCACCTCAAAAAAAAAAAAGAGAAGAAGGTCTTTCTGGGAAGGTGAAATGTGAACCCAGAGACTTGAAGGAGAAGAAAGAGCCAGCCATACAAAGATTTGGAGGAGGATTCCTAGCTTAAAAAAAGAAAGAAAGAAAACAGATGCAAAGGTCCTGAGTGAGACCAACCTTCCTCAGCTTGAGAAAGCCTCCAGGTAACACATGTGCTAAGTATACTGAGGGAGAGGAAGGGAGGACATGAGGTCAGGGGAGTAGGGGGAGGCTGGACCATATATTCCCTTAAAGGTCATGGTGAGGAGTTGCATTTTATTCTAAGTGTCTTTGGAAGATCCTAAACAAGGGACAAACGTGTCCTAACTTAAGATCTTAAAAGAACTTATAGCTATATAGAGAATAAATTATAATGGTGACAATATTAGGAGTAGGAAGATCAGTTTTGTTTTTGTTTTTTGAGATGTCGTCTCCCTGTCACCCAGGCTGGAGTCATTGACGTGATCTCGGCTCACAGCAACCTCTGCCTTCCAGGTTCAAGTGATTCTCCTGCCTCAGCCTCCCAAGTAGCTGGGACTACAGATGCCCACCACTACGCCCAGCTAATTTTTGCATTTTTAGTAGAGATGGTGTTTCAACATGCTGGCCAGGCTGGTTTCGAACTTCTGACCTCAAGTGATCTGCCCGCTTCGGCCTCCCAAAGTGCTGGGATTATAGGCAAGAACCATCATGCCCAGCCAGGAAAACCGATTTCTGCAGTTCAGATGATGAGGGTTTGGGGGGAAAAATAATAATCAATCACTGATTTTGCCGTCAAGAAAGAAAAAGGGGAAGGATTCCATAGGTGATCATATGAGGCACCTGTTTTATTCCATGGGCGATACATACTTGGAGAAAGCTCAGTAGGTATATCAGGGAAACTCTGTTGCCAGAGAGAGAGAGACTTACTTACTTACTTCTTTCTTTTTTTTGAGGCGGGGTCTTGCTCTGTCGCCCAGGCTGGAGTGCAGCGGTGTGATCTCAGCTCACTGCAACCTCCGCTTCCCAGGTTCAAGCGATTCTCCTGCCTCAGCCTCCTGTAATCTGTCCTGGGATTACAGGTGTGTGCCACCGCACCCAGCTAATTTTCGTTTTTTTTCTTTTTTTTTTTTGAGACAGAGTTTCACTCTTGTTACCCAGGCTGGAGTGCAATGGTGCGATCTCGGCTCACCGCAACCTCCGCCTCCTAGGTTCAGGCAATACTCCTGCCTCAGCCTCCTGAGTAGCTGGGATTACAGGCACGCGCCACCATGCTCAGCTAATTTTATGTATTTTTAGTAGAGACGGGGTTTCACCATGTTGAGCAGGATGGTCTCGATTTCTTGACCTCGTTATCCACCCGCCTCAGCCTCCCAAAGTGCTGGGATTACAGGCGTGAGCCACCGCGCCCGGCCTTTTTTTTTTTTTTTTTTTTTTTAATTTTTAGTAGAGACAGGGTTTCACCATGTTGGTCAGGCTGGTCTCAAACTCCTGACCTCATGATCCACCCGCCTCGGCCTCTCAAAGTGCTGTGATTACAGGCTGAACCACCACGCCCAGCCAGAGAGACTAATTTATTACATGGCCTCTCCCAGTCCCCAAGACAAAATCAAGAAGGATTAAAGCAGTGAAGTTTAGCAGCTTTCACTTGACTTTTTGGGGGGAGGCTGTGGGCCCCTGAGTAAATTTTGCAACCTGTTCTTATGAGTAACACTTCTGTTTTTCTTTTTAGTTAAGAAGAGTTTTATTGGCCAAAATAAATCTTTCTTTGGTCCTTTGGAGCTGGTGGAGAAACTTTGTCCAGAAGCATCAGATATAGCGACTAGTGTCAGAAATCTGCCAGAATTAAAGTGAGTGAGAAATAGTTATGCCGATTTGATGATTTTAAAAACTTCCTCAATTTACTCATTTCTCAATTCCTTGCTGATAAAGCCCTTTCTTTTTTCTTTTTCTTTCTTTTTTTTTTTTTTTTTGAGATGGAGTTTCGCTCTTGTTACCCAGGCTGGAGTGCAATGACGCGATCTCGGCTCACCGCAACCTCCGCCTCCTGGGTTCAGGCAATTCTCCTGCCTCAGCCTCCTGAGTAGCTGGGATTACAGGCATGCGCCACCATGCCCAGCTGATTTTTTGTATTTTTAGTAGAGACGGGGTTTCACCATGTTGACCAGGATGGTCTCGATCTCTCGACCTCGTGATCCACCCGCCTCGGCCACCGAAAGTGCTGGGATTACAGGCTTGAGCCACCGCGCCCGGCCTGATAAAGCCCTTTCTAATTGGAAAGATCTCTATTGCTTATTATCAACATGATTTCCAGCAAGATTTGACTCTCTCTGAGCCTGTTTTCTTTTCTTTAAAATGGGGATGGTGATTCCTGCTTGCCACACAGGCCAAATGACACCTTTGGTTGTAAAGGTATTGGCAACCAGAGGACACTCACAGAAGAAAAGGAGCTACTGGTACACCTGGAATCACTACTTCAGATACATGTGGGCAATTTTCTGAATAATACATTTTGGGCCAGATTGTAGCATCCAGGCCAAGGGACATTTGTAATTTGTTAGGATGGGACTAACAAATTATTTGCCGTGTCTGGATTTGCCATTGAGGTAGCTATGCTTAGGCTCAAAATCAAAAACAGGCCAGAACACAAATAAGTAATATTCCTGGAATTTGACATCTAGAAAGGCTCTTAGGGATCCTTGAGCCAATGCAAAAGAGCCCTCTGCAGAGTTTCCAGAGAGACCTGGACTGTTCAGCCTTTATTTGACCCTTCTCCTAGGGAATCAGCCCATTCCATTTTCAGATAATAACAGCCGCCTCCCTAGGACCTGCTCTATGACAGGCATTGCGCTGTTAACATTCGTTTTCATTATCTCATTTAATCCTCCGCAACTGTCCTCTAGGATAGCTGTTAGTATCCTCACCTGCAAGTGTGGGAAGTGAGACGTAAAGTGGCTAAGTAACTTGTCCACGGTGCCTCAGTAGGTAAGTGATGGGGTAGGAAGAGGACACAGGTCGTGGACCTTGAAGCCTTCTAAATCCCATGAAACTCCATTGCTGCCAAGCCCTGTGCATGCTTCTAAAGATTGGATTTAAACCTTCTATGCCAGTTCTGCCTGCCCAGCCTGTGTTGCTTATATTTAAGGCCTTTTGCACCTGCCAACCTTTCAAATGTTTATTTATTTGATGATGACCTCTTTTTTTTTTTTTTTTTTTTTTTGAGAGTCTCACTCTTGTCCAGGTTGGAGTGCAGTGGTGCAATCTCAGCTCACTGCAACCTCCGCTTCCTAAGTTCGAATGATTCTCATGCCTTAGCCTCCTGAGTAGCTGGGATTACAGGCACATTGCCACCACACCCAGCTAATTTTTGTATTATTTATAGAGATGAGGTTTCACCATGTTGGCCAGGCTAGTCTCAAACTCCTGACCACAGGTGATCCACCTGCCTTGGCCTCCCACAGTGATGGGATTACAGGCGTGAGCCGCCGCGCCCACCTGAAGGAGCTCTTTCATGAGCCTCTTAAGTCTACTGCCTTGTTTCTTCAGTCGTTTTTTATATGGTACAATTTCTCATACTCTTTCTGCCCAGCTCACTTACTCCCTCAAGAGTAAAGCACCTACACAGACAGACAGTGTCCTGATGTTTTCTTTGTGTTTTGTTTATTTTGTTTTTGAGACGGAGTCTTGCTCTGTCACCCAGGCTGGAGTTTAGTGGTGGGATCTTGGCTCACTGCAACCTCTGCCTCCCAGATTCAAGCAATTCTTCTGCCTCTGCCTCATGAGTAGCTGGGATTAAGGGGGCCCACCACCACACCCAGCTAATTTTTGTATTTTTAGTGGAGACAGGGTTTCACCATGTTGGCCAGGCTGGTTTCCAACTTCTGACCTCATGTGATCCATCCACCTCAGCCTCCCAAAGTGTTGGCATGAGCCACTGCTCCTGGCTGGTTGGTTGTTTTTTTTGTTTGTTTGTTTGTTTGTTTGAAGACAAGGTCTCTGTCACCCAGGCTGGATTGCAGTGGTACAGTCTCTCAGCTCACTGCAACCTCGACCTCCCAGGTTCAAGAAGTGATCCTTCCACCTCAGCCTCCCCAATAACTGGGACTATAGGCTGAGGCAGGAGAACTGCCTGAAACCGGGAGGTGGAGATTACAGTGAGCTGAGATCATGCCACTGCACTCCAGCCTGGGCTACAGAGTGAGACTCTTTCTAAAAAAAAAATGCATCTGCACCCAGCAGTTCTACTTACATGCATTTGATCCTACACCTATAACATATGAAAATGACACATGTTCAGAATGGTCCATTGTAGTCGTTATTTGTAACAGCAGATTAGAACCACCCTAGATTTTTTTAACCCAGCTAAATATGGTGCTGTCCAATAAAGACACACTAAAGCTATTCTGTGTACTGATATGGAAAGATTTTCAAGATGACAGATACTCAGTGAAATAAGCAGGTTGAGAACTGCATGTAAAACATGTTCAATTTTTTTGTAAAAGGGAGAAAAATAGTTTATGACTTGTTTTCATGTGTAGGAACATGTCTTGGAAATGAATTTAAACAAAAAACACTGTATTAATATATAGGGAAGAGGGATGGGAAGGTAGAGGACAAGGAGACAAGTATATATCTTTTAATACTGTTTTTTTTTTTTTTTTTTTCTTTGAAATGGAGTCTCACTCTGTCACTCAGGCTGGAGCACAGTGGCACAATCTTGGCTCACTGCAGCCTCTGTCTCCCCGGTTCAAGCGATTCTCACCCCTCAGCTTCCTGAGTAGCTGGGATTACAGGCATGAGTCACCATACCCAACTAATTTTTGTATTTCTAGTTGAGATGGGGTTTCATCATGTTGGCCAGGCTGGTGTCGAGCTCCTGGCCTCAGGTGATCCACTGTGCCCAGCCTACTTTCTGCATTTTAAACCAAATGAAGATAATGCCCATTGAAAAATAATGCAGCATTAAAAGTGCATATACTGTTTTTGTAGCCTTTTTTTCATTTATTCTACTTAATATTAGATTTTAAATCTCTTTGTGTATCAAATATTCACCTACAGTATCATTTTTTAAATGGCCAAATCATATTCTGTTATATAGCTAATTTAGCCCTTGTGGCTGTCTTGAAATTCTCGGTACCATAAACCATGATAATGATCTGATAACCATCCCCAAACATACATCTTTGTGTCCATCTTCAGTTATTTCCCCAGGATATATTACTAGATGTAGAATTTTGGTTACCTCTTATCATCAAATTGCCACTGAAAAATTGCACAGTTGGCTGGGCCCAGTGGCTCACGCCTATAATCCCAACAGTTTGAGAGGCCAAGGCAGGAAGATTGCTTGAGCCCAAGAGTTTGAAACCAGCCTTGGCAACATGGCAAAACCCTATCTCTACAAAAAAAAAAAAAAATTAGCTGGCATGATAGCATGTGCCTACTGTCCCAGCTATACCACAGGCTTAACACAGGATTATCACTTGAACCTCGGAGTTGGAGGCTGCAGTGAGCCATGATCATTCCATTGCACAACAGCATGGGTGACTGAGCAAAACCCTATCTCAAAAAAAAAAAAAAAAAAAAAAAAACGGAAGTTGGAAAGTTTACAGTCTCACCAAGCAGCACTTGAGAGGCCTTTTTTCTTTTAATGTTTATGCAGGCCTGTTCCTTTTTTCCTTTCTTTTCTTTTTCTCTCTTCTTTTCTTTCCTCTTCTCTCCTTTTCTACTTCTCTGGAGATAATGCTGGAATGCAGAAAAATTACACCTTTAAGATTAGGGCCAGGTGCGGCGGCTCACAGTTGTAATCCCAGCAGTTTGGGAGGCCAAGGTAGGCAGATCACTTGAGGTCAGGAGTTAGAGACTAACCTGGCCAACATGGTAAGCCCCCACCTCTACTAAAAATATAAAACTTAGCCGGGCATGGTGGCATGTGCCTGTAATCCCAGCTACTTGGGAGGCCAGGAGTCTGAGCAGGAGAATCACTTGAACCGGGGAGGCGGAGGATGCAGTGAGCCGAGATCATGCCAGTGAGTTATCTTGCCACTACACTCTATCTAGCCTGGGTGACAGATTGAGACTCCATCTCAAAAAAAAAAAAATAAATATTGGTTGCACAGCATTGTGAATGTACTTAACACTACTTAACTATAAGACTAAAAATGATTAAGATGGTTAATTTTATGTTCTATGTATTTTACCCCAATTAATAGTAAAACAAAATTGTACCTTTGAGGCCAGGTGCAGTGGCTCACGCCTGTTATCCCAGTACTTTGGTATGCCAAGAGAGGCCGATCACTTGAGGCAAGGAGTTTGAAACCAGTCTGACCAACATGGCAAAACCCTGCCTCTACTAAATACACAAAAATTAGCCAGATGTGGTGGCACATGCCTGTAATCCCAGCTGCCTAGAGGCTGAGGCATAAGAATTACTTGAACCCAAGAGGCGGATGTTGCAGTGAGCCGACATCACACCACTGCACTCCAGCCTGGGCGACAGAGCAAGACTCTATCTCAAAATGGTTGTACGTTTGAGCTAACCCCTTAGAGGTTTTATGAGCTTCAGCACTTTAACAAGTACTAAGTTCTCTATTAGTCTTTTGAAAGAATGTTTATCCATTACACAAATCTGACCTGATATCTTCCTGTGATTTTTTTTTAATATAAGCAAAGCAGATTGTCATTAGAAAATAGCACAGTTGGCTGGGCACAGTGGCTCCCACCTATAATCCCAACAGTTTGAGAGACCAAGGCAGGAAGATTGCTTGAGCCCAAGAGTTTGAGCCCGGATATTGTATTACTAAAAATACAGTATCTAATTGTATTTGTAGTAATACCCAAAGGTATGTGGCGAGCCATTTTCTCTGCCCGCCCAGGCCATGTGCATCCCTCCCCAACCCCAAACGGCTGTTCTTAGAGTATCCTCTGCATTTACAAGGCTGTGTGTCATATGTGTTTTCTACTTTTCTGTGTTGTTGTTATGCCACATTAGTTTGATTTTCTGTTTGAATTCTAGGACAGCTGTGGGAAGAGGCCGAGCTTGGCTGTATCTTGCACTCATGCAAAAGAAACTGGCAGATTATCTGAAAGTACTTATAGACAATAAACATCTCTTAAGGTATTTCATCAACTACGTCTGCTTATCTTTTGCTTGCTAAATAATTAGAACATAGGCTGGGCACGGTGGCTCACGCCTGCAATCTCAACACTTTGGGAAGCCAAGATGGGTGGATTGCTTGAGGTTGGGAGTTCAAGAGCAGCCTGACTAACATGGTGAAACCCCATCTCTACTAAAAATACAAAAATTAGCCAGGCTACTTGGGAGGCTGAGGCAGGAAAATCACTTGAACCCAGAAGGCAGAGGTTGCAGTGAACTGAGATCACACCAGTGCACTCTAGCCTGGACAACAGAGTGAGACTCCATCTAAAAATAAATAATAATAGGCCAGGTGCAGTGGTTCGCGCCTGTAATGCCAGCACTTTGGGAGGCCAAGGTGGGCAGATCTTGAGGTCATGAGTTTGAGACCAGCCTGGCCAACATGGTGAAACCCCATTTCTACTAAAAATACAAAAATTAGCTGGGCACGGTGATGTATGCCTATAATCCCAGCTACTTGGGAGGCTGAGGTAGGAGAATCACTTGAACCTGGTAGGTGGAGGTTGCAGTGAGCTGAGATTGCACCATTGCACACCATCCTGGGCAACAGAGTTAGACTCCATCTCAAAAATAATAATAATTAGAACATAGTTCTGTAGATCATTTTGAATTAAAGTAAGTATATCAGCCAGGCATGGTGGCTCATGCCTGTAATCCTAGCTAGCACTTTGGAAGGCCAAAGTGTGCCAATCACTTGAGGTCAGAAGTTCAAAAGCAGCCTGGCCAACATGGTGAAACCCCTGCTAAAAATAAAAAATCAGCCAGGCATGGTGGCATATGCCTGTAATCCCAGCTACTCAGGAGGCTGAGGCAGGAGAATCACTTGAACCCAGGAAGCAGAGGTTGCAGTGAGCCAAGGTCACACCGCTGTAACCCTAGCCTGGGAAACAGAGCAAAACTCTGTCTCAAAATAAAAAATAAAATAAGTGAATAATGTTTACAGAAATTTATGACTGGTTCATTTTTTATATTTGTAACTAAGCAAACATCATTCTAAAAGGAATTTTCTCTAGACTATGATAATTTATGAGGGAGGACTCTTTCCAAAGTTAAACCTCTCTCGTAATTGAGAAACAGATAAAAATAGGTAATCGAGAAATAGATCTTTTACAATATAGCCTAAAACCCAAGTTTCTCTGTGTTTTCAAGTCATAGCTCATTACCAAGCATATCACCGCAAATAATGATTTACAATATGTCACATACTTTGAGTACAGTTACACTGAGTAACTTTGAGTTACAGATTTTGTTGTAACGAACTCTTTTTCAATTAATTTTTTATTTATAATTGACACAAAATTGTACATATTTATGAGGTACCATGTGCATGTATATATTATATAATGATCAAATCAGGGTAATTACCGTATCCCTCACTTTACTAATAAACTAATTCATTTTCTTTTTCTTTTTTTTTTTTTTGAGACAGAGTGTCGCTCTTGTTACCCAGGCTGGAGTGCAATGGCGCGATCTCGGCTCACCGCAACCTCCACCTCCTGGGTTCAGGCAATTCTCCTGCCTCAGCCTCCTGAGTAGCTGGGATTACAGGCACGCGCCACCATGCCCAGCTAATTTTTTGTATTTTTAGTAGAGACGGGGGTCTCACTATGTTGACCAGGATGGTCTCGATCTCTCGACCTCGTGATCCACCCGCCTCGGCCTCCCAAAGTGCTGGGATTACAGGCTTGAGCCACCGCGCCCGGCCCATCAGGGAGTTTTATGCTTGCATGTGGGATCCCATTTCTTGCTTATATGAGCATAAGTGGAGAAGTAGTTCATATCAACACAGAAGAGGAGCCAGTGGAGACACAGGAAGGGAGAGTGACAGTCAGGAGTACAGTGGCCAAGAGGAGATGAGAAGAACTGGGGTCCAGGGTCTGCGTGAAGGAGTTAACCTTAGACAGGGGGAGGGGAGAGCCCATTCTAAGCCACGGAAGAAGAGAGGACAGAGAAGAAAACGTGGCCCTTGAAGCAGTGAAGGGAAATGAAAGGGAGGGAGGAAACCCTCAGTAGTATCTCCTGTCTCCGGGGTACAGTTGAAACGGCTGTGCCGGGTGAGGAAGGAATGGTGATGGCGAAGCTGTTTCTGAGCATCGCTCTGGTTGTCCATCTCTTTTAGTGAGTTCTATGAGCCTGAGGCTTTAATGATGGAGGAAGAAGGGATGGTGATTGTCGGTCTGCTGGTGGGACTCAATGTTCTCGATGCCAATCTCTGCCTAAAAGGAGAAGACTTGGATTCTCAGGTAAAGTGAAATTTTGGCTCTAGATGAAATACCTTCATTAGTCCAGGGACTTTACAAAGTATCTGCAGACAGGCACTAAACCTAAAGAAGGGCCAATGGCAAAGAGCCCTCTGGTAAAGGACCGGCCAGGGGCAGGTGGGGAAGCAGCTGGGGAAGATCTTAGAAGGGTGAAGAAGTTGCATAGCCAGAAGTACACCTGGAAAGTTCTGCAGGTTTGAGAATAGGCAGACAGTTCTCCAAGGCTGGAGCAGAGGGTGCTCCGTGGGTGAGGTGAAAGTGGAAGCTGGGCCCGGTTTTGAGGCCATCGATGCCATGCTGAAGGGCGTGGCTTTTATCCCCTGAGCTTTGGGAAGCTATTGGAAGGGTTTTTTGTTTTTGTTTTTGTTTGATAGAGACAGGGTTTCTCCATGTTGGTTAGTCTGGTCTCGAGCTCCCGACTGCAGGTGATCCACCTGCCTCGGCCTCCCAAAGTGCTGGGATTACAGGCGAGAGCCACCACACCTGGCCACTGTTGGAAGTTTTTAAGAAGTACACGGAAATGATCATGCCTGGATTTGAGAAAGCTCAATCTAGCAGCCATTCAGGTCGTGAGTTAGAAGTGGCCAAGAATAGATACAGCAAAAGCTTTGAGGAGACTAGTCTAGAAGTCCTGCAAGGTTAGATGGGGAGTAGGAAGATAGAATTGGCCAGGCGCTGTGGCTCATGCCTGTAATCACAGCACTTTGGGAGGCCGAGGTGGGTGGATCACGAGGTCAAGAGATCGAGACCATCCTGGCCAACATGGTGGAACCCCATCTCTACTAAAAATACAAAAAGTAGCTGGGCATGGTGGCACGTGCCTGTGGTCCCAGCTACTCGGGAGGCTGAGGCGGAAGAATCGCTTGAACCCAGTAGGCAGAGGTTGCAGTGAGCCAAGATTGCGCCACTGCACTCCAACCTGGCGACAGACCAAGACCCTGTCTCAAAAAAAAATAAAAAAAGGAAGATAGAGTCAGGAGAGATTTGGGAAGTCAAGTTGATAAAGTGGGGCACAAATGAAAGTAACCAGTAAGGTATAGGTGCTCTTTGGGAAGGACAGCCCTCTTGGGGTGGGCTTTCTTCCTGCATGGGAGCTGGTGACCAGAGCCGAGGCCCAAACTCCTGGTTGCAGGAACTGTAAGTGTCTGAGGGGAATAAACACCCTGACCCCTTCCTCACTTCTCATCTTCAGGGCATCTGCAGCTGTGGCTGGGCCACTGCCTAGAAGAAAGGGATTATTTTACATTATCTAGCAAAATGTCCAGCATTTTTCCTGCACTGTGTTTGATGAATCTAAAGCTTCCCTGATCCCTCCATGTGCAGGCCAATGTCTTTTTGTAACCTCTCTTCCCTTAAAAAAAAAAAAAAAAGAAAGTTTTATTGTTTTTGCATGTTGAAAAATATCTTTTTTTGAATTCAGAGAAGTAGTTTTGAAAAGTCACTAAAGATCACACATATCCTCATTACCCTAAGATGGAGAATTCAGTGTTACGTTGTGGTATACATCCTTCCAGCACATGAATAAAGGTGTGTGCATGAATAAAGGTGTGTGCATGTGTGTGTTTATGTTTGTGTATTTTAGAGTGGGATATTTGGTGGGTTTTTGTGTGTGTGTGAAATCAAACTATGATTATTCTAAGCACACCATTTTGTAATTTTTAAAAATTTAACAACATGTTCTCAATAACAGTTCTCAATAACAAGATATGTAAACCATTTCTTTTTTTTTTTTTTTGAGATGGAGTTTCGCTCTTGTTACCCAGGCTGGAGTGCAATGGCGCGATCTCAGCTCACCGCAACCTCCGCCTCCTGGGTTCAGGCAATTCTTCTGCCTCAACCTCCTGAGTAGCTGGGATTACAGGCATGTGCCACCATGCCCAGCTAATGTTTTTTTTTTTTTTGTATTTTTAGTAGAGATGGGGTTTCACCATGTTGACCAGGATGGTCTCAATCTCTTGACCTGGTGATCCACCCGCCTTGGCCTCCCAAAGTGCTGGGATTACAGGCTTGAGCCACCGCGTCCGGCCACGATATGTAAACCATTTCAAATGGCTATATAGTATTTCATTTTTTTAATGAACCCATTATGTAACCAGTACCTTATTAATTACCTTATTAATTTAGATTGTTTCCATATTGTGACAATATTATTGCTGGGCACATGGCCGACACCTATAATCCCAACACTTTGGGAGGCCAAGGCAGGAGGATCACTGGAGCCAGAAATTTGAGACCACCCTGGAACATAGTGAGACCTTGTCTCTAATAAAAATTTAAAAAATTAGCCAGGCATGGTGGCATGCTGCCTGTCATCCCAGCTACTCTGGAGCCTGAGGTGGGAGGACTGCTTGAGCCTAGGAGATCAAGGCTGCAGTGAGCTATAGTCATGCCACTGCACTCCAGTTTGGGCAGTAGAGCCAGACTCTGTCTGAAAAAAAAAAAAAAAAAAAAAAAAAAACCCAATATTATAAACATCCTTAAAGTTTTTTGTACTCTTGTCCATTTATTTCCTTAGGATAAATTTGGGGTTGTTGTGTCAAAGTATATAGCCTACATTTTGTGAGATAATGTAAAACAAACCTCCAGAACGATCTTCATTATAGACACCCACCAGCAGTGTGGGAGAGAACCCATTTCCTCCTGACACTGGATGTGATGAGCATTCTAGGTCTTTTTCAGTCTCATTAACAAAACAACTGATTGTCTCAAATTCACAAGTATTTTCGTGTTTTATTTATCATTGGTGGTTCAGGATTTTTCATATCCTTTGTCCATTTTTGAGTTTTCTTTCTGTACTTCTTTATTAAAGACTAAGCATATTGACCCTTTTTCGGAATTATTTGTTAGGATTTTTTTTTTCTGGTTTCTTGGGGGTGGTTTGCTCTGTAAAATTTTGTACTTTTTGGCGACCAAGTTTAGCAAATGTTTCCTTTATACCTTCTAAAGTATTGTGCTTTGAAGGTCCTTCTCTATCTAAAAATTACACTAACTTTTAACATGAAATGTGGAGTGCTGAAACGCGGGTCCACGCGTCTGGTTGTCTGTGTGTCCAGCCTTTACCCATGCAGCGTTCATTCATGGCCTCTGGTCAGGCACAGCTCAGAAAACCAGCCCCTGACTTCAAGGCCACTGCCCGGGTGGATGGCCTTAGAGGGGGCGAAGCTGTCAACTACAAAGGGAAATACATCATCTTCTTTTTCTATCCTCTGGACTTCACTTTTCTGTGGCCCACAGAGAGCATAGTGTTTGGCGACCATGCCGAGGATTTCCATAAGCTGCGCCATGAAGTGCTGGGCGTCTCGATGGACTCAGTTCACCCATCTGATTTGGATCATCTACAACCCCCGGAAGGAGGGAGGCTTGGGTCCCCTGAGCATCCCCTGCTTCCTGACATGACAGGAAGCTTGTCTGAGGATTACTGCGTGCTGAAAACAGATGACGGCATTGCCTACCAGGGCCTCTTTATCATCGATGGCATAGGTGACCTTTGCCAGATCACTGTTAATGATTTGCCTGTGGTGTGCTCTGTGGATGAGGCTGTGTGACTGGTCCAGGCCTTCCAGTACACGGACGAGCACGGGGAAGTTTGTCCCACTGGCTAGAAGCCTGGCAGCGACGATTAAGCCCAGTGTGGATGACGGGGAATACCTCTGCAAACACAGCTAGGCTGGCCGATGGAGAGTGAGCTCGTACCCCTACCTGGGCACCCTGTGCTGACCTAGGAAAGGCCAGACCTGCCCCTTCAATCTCTATGTCTGGGACCCTGGAGGGCTAGGCCGAGGCCTTTTCCTGCTTCCACCTGGATAGTTTTTTACACACTTATATGTAAAACGTGTACATTTTACACATTTTTGTCATTTGTTTTGGCATAGTGTGAGGTAGGAATCTAAATGTATTTTATAAATAGTTAACCAATTTTCTCAATGTCATTTATGTATTATACTTTTTTCTACTAATTTGAAAGTCCACTTTTATAATATGTGAAATATCCATAATATGCACTGGTTTATTTCTGAACTCTTCTGTTAGATCCCTGAATCTCTGTTCCTATGCCAGTGGCTCATTCTTTTAATGACTGGAGCCATATAGTATATCTAGACTCTGGTAGTTAAGTGCCTGCCTACTCTGCTGAACTTACGTTTCAAACATTTCTGGGCCATCCATTCTGCCAGATGAACTTGAACATCATTTTGTCAAATTCCTTTAATTAGATAATAGATGTGAGAGAGCATTCTGGTCTAGTGCTGTTTTGAACGGCAGTGCCTGTAGTGCGTCATCGTAAAGCATACGTGTTTGCTGCTGCTTTCTGAGGGTTGCTATTTCTCATGTTTAGAGAGTGCTGTTCCACTCCTGTTTACTTTGTGTTTTTATTAGAAATGAATGTTGAATGTTGTCAAATACTTTTTTTGGATCTATCAACATGTCATAGCTGTTTTTAACCCATAAATATAATTGAATTAATGCATAGGTTTCTTACTGACTATTAGCCCTGAATTTCTAAAATAATCCCTACTTGATCATTGTAAACCCTTGGATTTCATGTTTACTGTGTGTTTGGAATTTTTGTGTCGCTGCTTTTAAGGGAAACTGTCCTGAATTTTCTATACTACCTTTGCCATCTTTTGGTGTCAGAATTATATTAGCCTCATAAAATAAACTGGAAGGCCAGGCACAGTGGCTCACACCTATAATCCTAGCACTTTGGGAGCCCAAAGCGGGTGGATCACCTGAGGTCAGGAGTTTGAGACCAGCCCGGCCAACATGGTGAAAGCCTGTCTCTACTAAAAATACAAAAATAAGCTGGGTGTGGTGGCATGCACCTGTTTAATTCCAGCTACCCAGGAGGCTGAGGCAGGAGAATTGCTGGAACCTGGGAAGCAGAGGCTGCAGTGAACCAAGATCATGCCACTGCACTCCAGCCTGGGCAACAGAGCAAGACTCTGTTGCAAAAATAAATAAAAAAACATATAAAATAAAATAAACTGGAAAATAGCCTTCCTTTTCCTGTTTTCTACAAGTTTATTAGATCTGAAATTATTTTTTCTTTGCAGGCTTGCCAGAACTTACTGGTATGACCACTTCACCCTTATTCCTTTTTTTGGTGTTTGTTCTTTGACTACCTTAACTTTTTGCATAGTTTTGATCAATTTATTGGTTTTCTAAGTCTTGGGACTATTTTTAAAGTCATTTACAATTTTTTTTTTTTTGAGACTGAGTCTCACACCATCCCTGAGCTCGAGTGCAATGACAGAATCTCAGCTCACTGCAATCTCCGCCTCCCAGGTTCATGCGATTCTCCTGCCTCGTCCTCTCTAGTAGCTGGGATTACAGATGCATACCACCACACTTGGCTAATTTTTTGTATTTTTAGTAGAAATGTGGTTTCACTATGTTAACCAGACTGGTCTCAAACTGCTGACCTCGTGATCTACCCGCCTCAGCCTCCCAAAGTGCTGGTATTTCAGGCGTGAGCCACCATGCCCGGCCCATTTATAATTTTTTTTTAGAAATCATTTCATTCATATCTATTATGCTAGAGTTGTATGAAAGCATTCTCTTACAGCTTTCAAAAAATCTCACTGCTCTCATTTATAATGTGTATTTGCTAAATATTGATCACACTTAGTAGAAATTTGTCTGCTTTGTTAAACTTTGACAAACCAGCGCTCTTATTTTATCACTTCTACTTTGGTAGTAGGGCTTTATTTACTTTCTAATCCATTAATTTTTGCTTTGGGTGTTAATTCTTTCTCATCTTTCTATTGTTGGGTTTTTTGGCTGAAGTTTTTTAGATTTGGTTTTTTATTATAAAAGAAATGCTTGCTTGTTGAAAAAGTTGGTACCAAAGTGTATAATGTGAAAAGAGAAGTTCAACCTCCTCTTCTCACCCCACCCTCTGCCCCGCCCCAGCCCCTCTCCCTTTCCCACAGGTAATGGTAAAGATTCTGGGGGAAATCTTTCTAGAAGCTTTTCTACTTTTTCTATGCATATATTTACACATAGGTTTTGTTTTAAAGTAAATTTTTTCTGGTCTTCTATTACTGTGTAACAAGTCAGCAGCACTTAAACAATAGCAATCAGCCTGGCGTGGTGGCTCACGCCTGTAATCCCAGCACTTTGGGAGGCTGAGGCGGGTGGATCACGAGGTCAAGAGATTGAGACCATCCTGGTCAACAAGGTGAAACCCCATCTCTACTAAAAATACAAAAATTAGCTGGGCATGGTGGTGCGCCCCTGTAGTCCCAGCTACTCGGGAGGCTGAGGCAGGAGAATTGCTTGAACCCAGGAGGCGGAGGTTGCGGTGAGCCGAGATCGCGCCATTGCACTCCAGCCTGGGTAACAACAGCGAAATTCTGTCTCAAAAAAAAAATAATAGGCCGGGCGCGGTGGCTCAAGCCTGTAATCCCAGCACTTTGGGAGGCCGAGGCGGGTGGATCACAAGGTCGAGAGATCGAGACCATCCTGGTCAACATGGTGAAACCCCGTCTCTACTAAAAAAAATACAAAAAATTAGCTGTGCATGGTGGTGTGTGCCTGTAATCCCAGCTACTCAGGAGGCTGGGGCAGGAGAATTGCTTGAACCCAGGAGGCGGAGGTTGCGGTGAGCCGAGATCGCGCCATTGCACTCCAGCCTGGGTAACAAGAGCAAAAACTCCGTCTCAAAAAAAAAATAATAATAATAATAATAATAATAACAATAGCAATCACTGTATCTTTCACAGCTGGGGGCTGACTGGGTTCAGCTGTTTTGTTCTTGTTCAAGAGCTCATGAGATCACAGTCAGATGGTGGCTGGGGCTGGAACCACCCGAACGTTTGCTCTCTCCCACGTCTGTCTGCTGTGCTGAGAAGACCAAGGAGCTGCAGGCTGGAATGGCAGGGGTTTCTTGGACATCTGTATCTTTACATGCTCTCCAGCATTGTGGCTTCAGGGCAGCCAAGATTTTTTACATGAAAGCTCAGAACTTCAAATGCATATGCCAAGAGAAAGAGCTGGGTGGAAACTGTGCTGCCCTTTTTTTTTTTTTTTTTTTTTTTTTTTTTTTTTTTTTAAAGACGGGATTTCACAATGTTGATCAGGATTGTCTTAAACTCCCGACCTCAGGTGATCCACCCACCTTGGCCTCCAAAGTGCTTGGATTACAGGTGGGAGCCACCACGCCCGGCCTATGTATTGCCCTTTTTAACCTAGCTGCAGAAGTCACACAGCATCATTTCTGCTGCATTTTACTCATCAAGATAGGCACTTACACCTCCCAGAGTCGAAAGTTGGAAATATAGTTGCCTTTTGGTAGGTGTGTCAGAGAGGTTGCAGACATATGTTAGAACCATTACAGGTAGCCTTGGTTGCAACATAAGTAGAATTACTACAGTGAGGTTGTACATATTATTCGTTGACTTGAAATTGTATCCTTGAGTTTTGTTGGGTATCTTTTGTTTTGTTTTTGTGTGTGTGTGTGAGACAGTGTCTCGCTCTATCACTCAGATTGGAGTGCAGTGGCATGATCTCAGCTCACTGCAGCCTCAACCTTCAGTGCTCAGGCAATCCTCCCACCTCAGCCTCTCAAGAAGCTAGACCTACAGGCATGTACCACTGTATCTGGCTAATTTTTGTATTTTTGTGGACACCGGGTCTCACTGTGTTGCCCAGGCTGGTGTTGAACTTCTGAGCTCAAGCCACCCACCCATCTCAGACTCCCAGCATACTGGGAGTAGAGGCATGAGCCACTGTGCCCAGCTTTTCTATATTACTACACATGCCTCCACTGCATTCTTTGTTAATATTTGCGTAGGTTCTGTGATATGGCTGTAACATGATTGATTTCAGCTATTGATGAACATTAGGGTGCACCCAGTTTTCCTATATGTCAGATAAGAATGACCTCGTTTACTCATTCTCAAGTGCTTTATTTCTTGACAAAGCTGTTGATGTTTAGATGTGTAAGGGGTCTTGGTTCTCCAACTAGGGGATGGAGGATTTTCCTGAAATACTGTTTAGACCATTTTACCAAGATGTGCGGGAAGAAAGACTCAGAAATGTCAGCTAAGGTTACTACTTTAGAGATCCAGATATTTTTTCCTATTATAATTACTTTGTACACAAATAATTTTGTTGATCTTTGTAAACAATTCGATTAGTGAATAAACAGAAAACTAGGTCACGAAATTTCAGAATATTCTCTGAAATCTGATATCTACTAAGTTTTTCTTCTAGAAGGTGGTAGGGTTGGGTTTTTTTAGTTTGTTCAATTGACTGCCACCTCATAGAGCTGGTAAATGTTCATAGGAAAGAGATAAGAATGTAAATTCCCTGAATTTCAAAGGTTGTTAAGGTTTGTGAAAAATAGAAAATTTTTTTGAATTTAAACGTGTGCATTTTATTTCATTTAGGTTGGAGTAATAGATTTTTCCCTATACCTTAAGGATGTGCAGGATCTTGATGGTGGCAAGGAGTAAGTACTGCATTGTACATCACATTTTTAATAAAGTTCTGGCAAAGGTGGGTCTTCGGGCCTAGCCTAGCACCGGGTCTCCAGAAGGCTAGCGGAGACCCCAAGCCTGGAGGGGTGATGGGGGTGGAAAAAATTTCAGCGGAAGGAGCAAATCCAGATCGGACTGCGTGATTGGGGGTCTGGGTCGGACTCTGTGATTGGGAGTCAGGGTCGGACTCTGTGGTTGGGCCTGGTGGAGGTGGGCAGGGCAAGTTAGGTGTGTCTGCTGTTTTCACACTCATGGAGGTGGAGGCGGCTTTCAGGGTTGGATATGCGCCCCCTGGGTGTTTCCCCACACCTGCAGAACAGGTAATCAAGCTCTTCTCTGCAAAAAAAATAATTAATAATAAAATTTAAAAAATTAAAAATTCTGGCAAAGAACACTTTTTCTTGTTTTTCCTTTGAGATTTTAGATTCTGTTTAGTTTTTTTTTTTTTTTTAATCATTTTTTTCTTTGAGATGGAGTTTCGCTCTTATTACCCAGGCTGGAGTGCAATGGCGCGATCTCCGCCTCCTGGGTTCAGGCAATTCTCCTGCCTCAGCCTCCCGAGTAGCTGGGATTACAGGCACACGCCACCATGCCCAGCTAATTTTTTGTATTTTTAGTAGAGACGGGGTTTCACTATGTTGACCAGGATGGTCTCGATCTCTTGACCTCGTGATCCACCCGCCTCGGCCTCCCAAAGTGCTGGGATTACAGGCTTGAGCCACCGCACCCGGCCTGTTCAGTTATTTTTAAGTGCAGAAGCAATGCATTATTCTCATTGTTTAAGGAATTTGGCTCTGCAGAATAGAGTGCAGGTGGAATTTCCCCATTTACACTGTCCCCGCACCTCCATGTCAATCCCACCCCTCCCCTCAGAGGAAGCTACCCTTACGGCTCCTTCCAAGACTGTTCAGTGCCTTGCAGGTATTTGTTTGTTGGTCGTGGAATTTGCTTGACCATTTGTTCAACTATAAATGGGCTAGAACTATATAAGTTGCCCTTGGACTTGTTCTTTAATCGTTGTGTTTTAGATGTCTTTTTATGCCACTGTATAACTCTCCTTCATCCTTGATAACAAGAGTATTCTTTTAAAATAAGTTGTCGGGGCTGGGGGGTGGGAACTATAACATACTGCCGTTTATGTTATAATAAAAAAGGATATGCATACATATTTATATGTTTTACTGTCTTTTTTTTTTTTTTTTTTTGAGACAGAGTCTTGCACTGTCACCCAGCCTGGAGTACAGTGGCACGATCTCAGCTCACTGCAATCTCCACATTTCAGATTCAAGCGATTCTCTTGCCCCAGCCTCCCAAGCAGCTGGGATTACAAGCACCTGCTACCACACCCAGCTAATTTTTTGTATTTTTAGTAGAGAGGGGGTTTCACCATGTTGGCCAGGTGGTCTGGAACTCCTAACCTTGTGATTCACCCGCCTCTGCCTCCCAAAGTGCTGAGATTACAGGCATGAGTCACTGCACCCAGCCTATATGTTTTATTTTCATATGTATACATGGAACATTTCTAGATTAGCATATCAACCTTATAGTAGTGGTTGTCTGTGGAGCCAGGCATGGTAGGGAGTTTTCACTGTAAACCCTGGGATCTCATTTGACTATTTCACCTTATGCATATGTTACCTGCCTTCCAACTACTTTTTTTTTTTTCCATAGAGACAAGGTTTCACCGTATTGGCCAGACTGGTCTCGAACTCTTGACCTCAGGTGATCCGCCCACCTCAGCCTCCCAAAGTGCTGGGATTACAGGCATGTGCCAACACGCGTAACCACAAAATAAACTCTTTTTTTTTTTTTAATTTTTTTTAAAGACGAGGTTTCACCATGTTGGTCAGGCTGGTCTTGAACTCCTGACCTCAGGTGATCCACCTGCCTCAGCCTCCCAGAGTGCCGGGATTACAGGCGTGAGCCACTGCAGCCGGCCAAAATAAACTAAATGTCAAAAAACAAAAGCTAAAATAAAGTGAGTATCTACCAGTAAGGAAATAATTGAATTAATTATGGAACATCTGTAATATTCTACACTGTGGTATATTTTGCAGACAAAAAAAAAATTGGAGCTACCCGGTATATTGAATGAGACTATACTATATTGAATGAGGAAAGTATGATTCTGAGAGTATGTATATCCTGTTTTTATAAACAAGTCAAAAAATTCCTAGTATATATTTTATATTGTAATTATATGTACTATATGTATATTAGATAGATACCATGATTATATGCACATAGAAGGATACCCTGGCCAGGCATGGTGGCTCACGCCTGTAATCCCCACACTTTGGGAGGCCAAGGAGGGCTGAACACAAGGTCAAGAGATCGAGACTATCCTGGCCAACATAGTGAAACCCCGTCTCTACTAAAAATACAAAAATTAGCTGGGCGTGGTAGCTGGCACTTGTAGTCCCAGCTACTCAGGAGGCTGAGGCAAGAGAATCACTTGAACTGGGGAGGTGGAGGTTGCAGTGAGCTGAGATTGTACCTCTGCACTCCCGCCTGGTAACAAAGCAAGCTGTGTCAAAAAAAAAAAAAAGAAAAGAAAAGAAAAGAAAGGATACTCCACAGGCTATCAGTATGGGCAACCTGAGAGAGCAGAACAAGTTAAAGGAAAAATATGACTATACCAGAAAACAAATATAGCACCCATGGCATGAACCTGTGTAGGATAATCCCCTTTTATGAGGATTACATATGGATATATGTATGTGAAGAAATTAGGAGAGCCTTGATTGCCTGATGCTCCATAAAAAAAAAAAGAGGCCGGACGCGGTGGCTCACGCCTATAATCCCAGCACTTTGGGAGGCCGAGGCAGGTGGATCAGGAGGTCAAGAGATCGAGACCATCTTGGTCAACAAGGTGAAACCCCGTCTCTACTAAAAATAAAAAAATTAGCCGGGCGTGGTGGTGCACACCTGTAGTCCCAGCTACTCAGAAGGCTGAGGCCGAAGAATTGCTTGAACCCAGGAGGCGGAGGTTGCAGTGAGCCGAGATCGTGCCATTGCACTCCAGCCTGGGTAACAAGAGCGAAACTCCATCTCAAAAAAAAAAAAAAAGAGAGAGAGAGAAAGAAAAAGAAATTAGGAGAACCTAACTTTAAACTGTTAAAGACTTTTTTTTTTTTTTTTTGCCTCATAATCTTACTCTGTCACCCGGGCTAGAGTGCAGTGGCATGGTCATCACTCAGTGCAGCTTCAACCTCTGGGCTCAAGCAATCCTCCACCTTAGGAGGTAGAGGGACCACAGGAGTAGCTGAGACTACAGGTGTGCATCACCATGCCCAGCTAATTTTTGTATTTTTTGTAGAGACAGGGTTTCAATATGTTGCCCAGGCTGGTCTTAAACTCCTGGGCTCAAGTGATCCACCTGCCTTGGCCTCCCAAAGTGTTGAGATTACAGCACTTTTTATTTTTATTTTTTTTTTCTCTGTTCCTGTAGAAATGATGAGCATAAATAATTTTTTTTTTTAACCCAAACTGCCCTGATCAGCTTGGTGTTTTGAAAAGTCTCATGCTCTCCTTTCCTTCAGTATAATAAGGGTTGTGTCATCTGCCACTTCCAAAGCCATTTGCCTGTGGCAGGTTGGTATTTTCACCTTGCTTGCTTTCATCCTGAAACCTTGGTCTGCAGGGAGCCCCCTCTCCTGGCAGCCTGGCCCTGGAGGCGCTGGCCACTGTGTCCCTAGCTGGCCTTGCTCTCTGTACTCTGGGAATGTGGGTGTTACTAAGCTCTGGCTGTCTCTTGGTTTCTTGAAGACATTGGTACTTCTACAAGGTGATTGGAAGGTTGGGGAACAGTTACAAAGTATTAACCTGAATTTAAAAAATTCTCCCTTTTTGTACTCCTTTTAAAAGGCATGAAAGAATTACTGATGTCCTTGATCAAAAAAATTATGTGGAAGAACTTAACCGGCACTTGAGGTAAGACTCTTTTTTTTTTTTTTTTCAATGTGACAGTTACATACTCAGTATCCTATCGTTGTTGCATGGAACTTTTTTGAGTTGCCGTATATTTATAAATAACTTGTTTTCAAACCAAGAAAAAAAGGTCATCATTCAGGCAACATTTATTTGTACAAACTGGAGAAGTATGATTTCTTCTTGATAAATGCTTGGGAAATCTTTATTCTGTGCTTTATGCAGTTATATAATACAGAAAAATAACTACATTAAACCTTGACTCTCCACTCCTCACCCCACAGCTTTATGGTTGGAAATCCCTTCATGGCAAGCACTGTTGCTGCTGGGAATTGGCACACAGCACCCAGTGCATTATGGCAGGAAAAAGAGTTGAGAACCACTGAGCTAGGCTCTCCAGAGCAACATGCTAGTGATCACAGGCATCTTTATCTTGATTTTTTAAATTTTTGCTAGAAATCTGTGGATATGTTTCATGAAATACTAATCCTTGGAGGTATTCGTGGGGAATGCAGAGAGACACGTCATTCCATTTCTGAGTCCTCTCTAGAGAGTACATTGCGTATTACAGTTTTCTATAGGGGCAGCCTCTCTGGCCCCAAAAGCCAGGTGAAGAAGCCAGCATGTTCCTTCCAATATAGTTAGGGACACATCACTTTGGGGCTGTTTTTTCTTTTTCTTTTTCTTTTTTTTTTTTTTTTTTTTTTTTGACAGGGTATCTTGGCTCACTGTAGCCTCAAATTCCCAGGCTCAAGCAATTTATTCTCCCACCTCAGCCTCCTGGGTAGCTGGGACTACAGGCACGCGCAACCTGTCCTGGCTAATTTTTGTAGAGACAGGGGTTTGCCATGTTGCCCAGACTGATCTTAAACTCCTGCACTCAAGCAGTCCTACGGCCTCAGCTGCCCAAAGTGCTAGGATTACAGGCGTAACCCACCACACCCAGCCTGGAGCTCTTCTTAACTGTGCTGTTGGCTGTTTTTTGAAAGAGGTTTTTGGTCGATTCCTAGTTTATTGAGAATATATATAAGAAATAGGCCAGGCACTGTGGCTCACACCTGTAATCCCAACACTTTGGGAGGCTGAGTTGGGTGGATCACCTGAGGTTGGGAGTTTGAGACCAGCCTGACCAACATGGAGAAACCCTGTCTCTAGTAAAAATACAAAAATAGCCGGGTGTGATGGCGCATGCCTGTAATTTCAGCTACTCAGAAGGCTGAGGCAGGGGAATCGATTGAGCCTAGGAGGCAGAGGTTGTGGTGAGCCAACATCACACCATTGCACTCCAGCCTGGGCAACAAGAGCAAAACTCCGTCTCAAAAAAAAAAAAAAAAAAAAAAGATAGATATTGAATTTTATCAAATGCCTTTTAGTGTCCATTAAAATAATCATGGTTCTTATCCCTTAATCTACTGTATGGTATATTTTATTAGTGGACATCTTCATACTGGGCCCTTCCTGTATCACAGAGATAAACTGCACTTGATCATTTTTTATTATGATTTTTTGGGGACAAGTGGCTTACACTGTCACCCAGGCTGGAGTACAGTGGTACAATCATGGCTCACTGCAGCCTCCACCTCCCTGGGCTCAGGTGATTTGCCCACCTTAGCCTCCCAAGTAGCAGGAACTACAAGTACACACCACCACGCCTGGCTAATTTTTTGTAGAGATAGGGTCTCAATTTGTTGCCAAGGGTGGTCTCAAACTCTTGTCCTCAAGTGGTCCTCCCCACTTAGCCTCCAAAGTGCTGGCATTATAGGCATGAGCCACCTTGTTCAGCCAGGATTATAGTTTTAATAATTCAATTATCCTTTTAATATGTAACTTGACTTTCTGGGAATTTTATAGTTTTCTTCCCCTGCCATCATATCAGGCTTATGTAGCATTGCAAAATGAATTAGTAAGCTTTGCCTTATGCCTGGGAACAGTTTCTAGGTCATGGGCATTATTTGTCCCTTGAAAATGTGACGTAGCCGGGCACAGTGGCTCATACCTGTCATCCCACACCTTATCCCTGTGATACAGGAGGTGGTTAGATTACCTGAGATCAGGAGTTTGAGACCAGTCTGACCAACATGGTAAAACCCTGTCTCTGCTAAAAATACAAAAATTAGCTGGGCGTGGTGTTGGGCACATGTAGTCCCACCTACTTGAGGCTGAAGCAGGAGAATCGCTTGAACCCAGGGAGTAGAGGTTACAGTGAGCCAAGATCATGCCACTGGACTCCAGCTTGGGCAACAGAGCGAGACTCCATCTCAAAATAAAAAAAATGAAGCTTAAAGCATTTATGAGGCAATGCCTTACTAGCTTTTTAGTTGTTAGTTCATTTAGGTTTTCTTTTGAGAATATATCTTTCTTTGGTCATTTATATTTTTAAGAAAAAATATAAAATTTGGGGGTATTTTCTAAGTTGTCAAGTTGGCACAGAATTGACTCTTAAAATTGTATACTCTTAAAATTTTTCGTTCCCTCTGTATCTTTGTTTTTTCCCTTTTTCATTTTGTGTCTTTGTGTTTTTATATTTGCTCCTGGTGCCTAAAGCTTGGTTCATTAGCCCTGCCAAGTTTATTTCTTTGTCCCCCACTCACTGACACCAGGGGTCTGGTCTTTGGCAGCATGGCCTGTTGCCCAGAAGTACAGGCTCTCGAGCCAAATCCCCTGGGTTCAGATGCCAGCAGCCCTTTGTAGATGTGTAAACTTGAGTTAATTCTTTCATGTAAAATTGTGGCTGCCTTGTCTGTAAAATAGGCTAACAATAGGATCTACCTCATCAAATTGTGGGGAAGATTAAATGAGTTGATGTATTTAAAGTACACAGAGGCCAGGCGTGGAAGCTCACGCCTATAATGTCAGCAGTTTGGGAGGCTGAGGCAGGAGGAGGATACCCTGAGCCCAGGAGTTCAAGATTAGCCTGGGCAACATAGTGAAACCCCACCTCTACAAAAAAATACAAACTTTAGCTTGACATGGTGGCAAGGTGGGAGGATCACTTGAGCCTGGGAGGTCGAGGCTGCAGTGAGCCATGATCACACCACTGCACTCCAGTCTGGGCAACAGAGCAAGACCCTGTTTCAAAAACAAAAAAGAAAAAAAGTAATATATATTACTTAAAGAATATTTTTTAAATGGGGAAGGTATAAAAGGTATATATTTTAAAATATCCTGGATCTTTTTACCGCAAAATACCAATACCGTGTTAATGAATTTTATTTTAGGTATATGACTGCCAGCACATTTTGCTTTCTATCACCTTTTGTGTTGGGAGAAAAAAAGTCTCTTTCTAAATTACTAAAAAAGAAATAGGCCGGGCACAGTGACTCACACCTGTAATCTCAGCATTTTGGGAGGCCAAGGCAGGCAGCGTCACCTGAGGTCAGGAATTTGAGACTACCCTGGCAAACATGGTGAAACCCCGTCTCTACTAAAAATACAAAAAAATCAGCCAGGTGCAGTGGCACATACCTGTAGTCTTAGCTACTTGGGAGGCTGAGGCTGGAGAATCGCTTGAACCCGGGAGCCAGAGGTTGCAATGAGCTGAGATCACTCCACTGCACTCTAGGCTGGGCAGCAAAGCGAGACTTCGTCTCAAAAAAAAAACAAAAACAAAAACAAAAGAGTATATTTTAGGGATAAAACTTAATGAAAAGTATGTCACATATGTATATTTAGAATTCTCATCTTCTCGGCCGGGCACAGTGGCTCATGCCTGTAATCCCAGCACTTTGGGAGGCCGAGACGGGTGGATCACAAGGTCAAGAGATCAAGACCACCCTGGTCAACGTGGTGAAACCCCGTCTCTACTAAAAATACAAAAATTAGCTGGGCATGGTGGCACACGCCTGTAGTCCCAGCTACTCAGGAGGCTGAGGCAGGAGAATTGCTTGAACCCAGGAGGCGGAGGTTGTGGTGAGCCGAGATCGCGCCATTGCACTCCAGCCTGGGTAACGAGCAAAACTCCATCTCAAAAAAAAAAGAAAAAGAATTCTCATCTTCTCTGAGTTAATTGGAGACTCCTTTGCCTTTCCATTTAATACAGGAAATCTAGGAATCTCTCTTATTGTTTTACGGGTTGAGAAAACAGTCAGTTTTTATAAGTTTATGTTTACCTAATATTATTTTCTACAGCTGCACAGTTGGGGATCTTCAAACCAAGATAGATGGCTTGGAAAAGACTAATTCAAAGCTTCAAGAAGAGGTTTGTACGTTTCATTAAAATTTTTAGACAAAACAGAATGACCCAAGGTTAAGAGAAATGGGGTAGTCGATCTGTGTAAGTAGAGCTTCTTGCTGGTGGGAGGGGGACTTGTGAGCCGCCAGTTGCCCCATGTGGGACAGGAGACTGTGTTCTGTCCTGTCCAAGGCTCTCCATAAGACACTGCAGCTGAGTCCAGCCCGTTCTGAGTGACTTCGATTTTATCACCTCAGAGTCATCCCATAGAAGGAAATGCTCCTTGGGAAAGCCCAGCTTCTGTTGTGGAAGTGCCATGTCGCCCTCTTTTTCTGCCCTTCCTGTGATGCCATATGCCCCCTGCTGTCCAGAAAGCACAGACTCTGTCATAAGGAATAAGTATCCTAGCCCACCCCTTCTGCTTTGGCCTCAGGAGCGTGCAAGCAGCCTCCCCCACAGCGCGGTCTGTCTCTGTTTCCTTACTAGGAAGAGAGAATGACAAAGGAGGGCTGAGGCCGAGGAAGAGAGCTTGCTGTTAGCTGCCCGGCAGGCTCCTTGGTGGACGCATCTTGTCTCCTGTTAGCGGGAGAGGGGTGCTTTTCTGAGGCTTTCCATAGGTAGCCGTCCCTGGCTGCCCAGGCCTCCCACCTGGAAGGACGAGGGCTCTGAGAGGGGCTTGAGAAGGAACAGCTCCACAGCATGGAGGCAGATTACAGCAGAAAGGAGTGCCTCAGAGCACACCTCTATAATGACAGACCCCGTGTAAGGCGCCCTTGATGCCGACTGCTCCTTCCTGAGGCGCCAGCCCTGAAAGGCTTTCAGGAAAGGCACTCAGATTTGTGTGCGTAGAAGGAAATTCAAGACAGTATCATAGATGGGGTGTCATGGGAGAAACTTCATGGAACTTAGAATTGGAGGCTTCACGGTCGCCTTGGTAGGCGGGCCTTGGAGCCTCAGATGTTGGGTAGATCAGTCGTTGAGCCTCACTTTTCTCACTTCCAAGTTAGGTAATAATACATACTTTACAATACTGTTGTAAAGACTAAGATTAATATCCTTTAAATGTGCTTAGGATAACACTTGACATGTGGGAGCACTCCAGAGTTGTTTGATTTTAGAACAAGTAGATTCACTGTATATCTCAGACCAGGTGGCGTGCTTTGGTGAACGTCCAATTTAGCTTTTGAAACTAAACAGAGTTATGTGGGGTTGTTTTGCTTTTTGAGACAGGGTCTCACTCTGTCATCCAGGCTGGAATGCAGTGGCACAATCATAGCTTACTGTAACCTCAGACTCCTGGGCTCAAGAGATGCTCCTGCCTCAACCTCCTTAGTAGCTGGGACTCTAGGCACACACCGCCAACACCCGGCTAATTTTTTAACTTTTTGTAGAGATGGGATATCACTTTGTTGCCCAGGTTGTTTTCAAACTCCTAGGCTAAAGTGATCCACACACCTTGGCCTCCCAAAGTGTTAGGATTACAGACATGAGTCACTGCGCCCAGCTTGGGTTATGTTTTCTTTAAAGACAAATGGTTGTAATAGAAAATGTGTTTCTGCCAGGTGTGGTGGCTCATGCCTGTAAATCCCAGCTCTTTGGGAGGCCAAGGTAGAAGACTCACTTGAGCCCAGAAGTTTGAGACCAGCATGGGCAACATGGTAATACCTTGTCTCTAGAAAAAAAAATTTTTTTTTTTGAGACGGAGTTTCGCTCTTGTTACCTAGGCTAGAGTGCAATGGCGCGATCTCGGCTCACCGCAACCTCCGCCTCCTGGGCTCAGGCAATTCTCCTGCCTCAGCCTCCTGAGTAGCTGGGATTACAGGCACGCGCCACCACGCCCAGCTAGTTTTTTGTATTTTTAGTAGAGACGGGGTTTCACTATGTTGACCAGGATGGTCTCGATCTCTCGACCTCGTGATCCACCCGCCTCGGCCTCCCAAAGTGCTGGGATTACAGGCTTGAGCCACCGCGCCCGGCCTGAAAAATTTTAAAAATTAGTTGTGGTGGCACACATCTGTACTCCCAGCTACTTAGGCGGCTGAGGTGGGAGGATCATTTGAGCCTAGGAGTTTGAGGCTACAGTGAGACAGAGTGACACCCTGTCTCAAGAAAAGGAAAGAAATATGCTTAGTGAAAAGCATAGCTCTGTTCAGGGTGTGCTCTCTGCATCTCCAGAGAGTGGAATGGGAATTAGCTTATGTTTTTTGCCTGCTTCTTCCCTTTGAGCAACTAACACGCTTTTTTTTTTTTTTTTTTTTTTTTTTTTTTTGAGACGGAGTTTCGCTCTTGTTACCCAGGCTGGAGTGCAATGGCGCGATCTCGGCTCACCGCAACCTCCGCCTCCTGGGTTCAGGCAATTCTCCTGCCTCAGCCTCCTGAGTAGCTGGGATTATAGGCACGCACCACCATGCCCAGCTAATTTTTTGTATTTTTAGTAGAGACGGGGTTTCACCATGTTGACCATGGTTGGTCTCGATCTCTCGACCTCGTGATCCACCCGCCTCGGCCTCCCAAAGTGCTGGGATTACAGGCTTGAGCCACCGCGCCCGGCCTAACACGCTTTTTAAAGCCTTGATGTTTCTTATTTTGGGCACAGCAATTATGTGTAGAAACCCCAGGCCTGGGTTCTGAGTCTTAAGTAGATAGTAATTCTCAGGAGTTTTAGATGCTATTGACAGAGAAAGTGAGGCATTAGGTGTTTCTGGGTCCCTCCACTAGTGAATGAGAGCCCAGCCAAATACCAAGGACAGAGATCTTGCTTCTTTCTCCCCAGCTCCACCTTCCTCTCTACATGCTGTGTAATGAGGAGGGGCTGGTTGCTGTGTTTACTCATCTGCCTTGCCTCTTTAGACAGGCTCTCCTTAGGCGGGTCCCTGACAGTGTCCTGCTTCCTTATGCTTTTCCTTCAGCCATGAGAAGTCCTTCCAGGGGAAGAAGAGGTCCTCTCAGGCATATCTGCAATGATTTGTTTTTTATTCCTCCCTGAAAATTCTGTAATTCTCCCTCTAGGGATTTAAATATACTTTCACTGATTATTATCTAGAAAAAATGGAAAGAATGAAGAGTCAGGAAAAAAAGCCCATGATCCCTTTACTAAGTGACAATTATTCTTATCATTTTACTATTTGAAATACATTGTCTCCATCTTTCCTTTTTTTTTTTTTTTTTTTGAGACAAGATCTGGCTTTGTCACTCAGGCTGGAGTGCAGTGGCACAATTTTGGCTCATTGCAACCTCTGCCTCCTGGGCTCAAGCCATCCTCCCACCACAGCCTCCTAAGCAGCTGGAATTACAGGCATGAGACATCACGCCTGGCTGATTTTGTATTTTTTGTAGAGACGGAGTTTCACCATGTTGCCCAGGCTGGTCTCGAACTCCTGGGCTCAAGCAATCTGACCACCTCAGCCTCCCAAAGTGCTGGGATTACAGGTGTGAGCCACTGTGTCCAGCCACTCTGTCTTTTCCTAACCATTTTTAATGTAGTTGATTTTTTTTTTATACAGGTGAGAACATACCTTATAACCTTTTTCCCTATTATTATATCTTAAGTATGTTCTTAAGTCATTAAAAGCTTTTGTAAACATTTTATTGACTACATAGTTCTGTTTTGTGCTTCCACTATGATTTAACTATTTCTCTAATAGTGAATATTCAGGCTGTTTCTAATTTTTCATGTCTATAAATCTTTGTCTACATTAAGCAGTATGCTATCATTTTTGTAAAGAGGGAGAAAGTTTGGAGAGGGCAGAGATGGCTAGGGGCAAGGGTGGAGGAGAGATTGTACTATATACATTTTCATATCTATGGAATTTGGAACCAGGTATTATTACCTGTTGGAAACAAGAAAATAAAGTATCAAACCTGTGAACAAACATTGTCAACTGTGAAGATACCAAATTAATGTTAGTTTTTAATTTGAACAGTAAGATTAATTTTGATGTTAAGAACTGTTAAAATTTTCCTTAATCAGCTTTCAGCTGCAACAGACCGGATTTGTTCACTTCAAGAAGAACAGCAGCAGTTAAGAGAACAAAATGAATTAATTCGAGAAAGAAGTGAAAAGAGTGTAGAGGTGAGAAATTGACCTTACAGTGGGACAGCAAGTTCCTTATTCAGACACACCTATTGTCAGTCTCAAGCTCATAGCTTAATAACGACCCAGTCTTCAGAAGGCAAAGGTACCTTGCTTGATGTCGGAAAGTGCCTCTCACTGCCATCCCTGCCCACATCACTCTGAGACCACCTGGATCACTTGGATGGGGACTCCCTGCCTGGCCTATGGGTCTTTGCATGCCAAAGTTCCTGCTCGTTCTTCAGCATCCACTCACATGCCATGTCCTCTGTGATGCCATCCCAGGGGCCATGGGTGGGCCTGGGCCCTCCTCCCGTATTCCCATGGCTCTTGGTGTCCTTCCATGATAGAGTCAATTTGCTGTTTTGTAGAATTGTTGGCTTGCATCTCTGTCACCCGATAACTTGAGGATAGAGACCATATCTCATTCACTTTTAAATTCACTCAGTGCTAAAAACATGTTCATAAGTACTGGATGATGGGTTGAATGAGAGCTTTTCCCATGAATGGAGCCTTGTTCTGTTTTAAAGCAAATTAAATTTAAATTGCTTTATGAACCCTACTTTTTTTTTTTTGTTTTTGAAACAGAGTCTTGCTCTGTCACCCAGGCTGGAATGCTGTGGCATGCATGATCTCTTGCTCACTGCACCCTCCACCTCCCGGTTCAAGTGATTTTCCTGCCTTGGCCTCCCGAGTAGCTGGAATAACAGGCGCATGCCACCATACCCAGCTGATTTTTGTATTTTTAGTAGAGACAGAGTTTTGCCATGTTGCTCAGGCTGATCTCAAGCCCCTGGCCTCAAGTGATCCACCGGCCTGGGCTTCCCAAAGTGCTGGGATTACAGGTGTGAGCCACTGTACCCAGCCTGTGAACTTACTTTTCAAATATCTGTTGACTTACTGTCATTCTTTATCTTCAAGTTCCGATATCTAAAATTTTAACCTTTTTCTATCATGCTTAAAAAATAAAAATTACCTTACTTTTTAAAAATTGTGGTATATTTTTAAATACTTTGTAATTAGCTTGCTTTCCATAAGCAAACAGTTCCTCTTGGTGTCCTTGTTTGATATAGATAACAAAACAGGATACCAAAGTTGAGCTGGAGACTTACAAGCAAACCCGGCAAGGTCTGGATGAAATGTATAGCGATGTGTGGAAGCAGCTGAAAGAGGAGAAGAAAGTCCGGTTGGTGAGTGTGCAGGACTACTCAGTGTCTTTAGAAAGAGTTTCCCAGTAGCCCTCTAAGTTAATTCTGTCTGCACTTTTCACAGACATGCTTAACCCTGCTGATGCTCCCAGAAAGTCAGAAGCTGTTTATTTAAAAAAAAAAAAAAGCCTACATTTACGACTCAGTTGTGGATTGTCACTTACATTTTTTCCTGTTTTATAAATTTTGTTCAGGGATTGCTGTGAGACCAGATTCATGGTTTCTCACACAATACGCTTCTCAGTCATAGCCTCTGGGCTATCTATTTCCACTCAACCTGTGCATCAATGACAGAAGTTCTTTCTAAACACAGTTCTTGTGCCTGCTTTCTTTGATTCTTTGCATGGACACAGGGAAACACGTCCTGGGTCAGGACAGAACCATTTCTAAATGGTTGCACTTCTGTTGCTGTAAGCTAGCAAGCCATTCCAGAAACTCTAACGCTGCACTGTCAGATCCCCTCCAGCGCTCAAACAAGACAGATATTCTTTGAGACCATGCGTTCTGATCTGTGGGTGTGGAAAACACGGTTGCCAGAACCTGGGCTCATCCAGCCACTCACCAGCTTTTTGTGACTTGATATGGAGCCAGCTTTAACCGGACAGTAAGGAAAAGGGGAAACTCCATCCAGTCCTGCTCCAGACAGAGTCTTTTCAGTCTCCCTCACCTATTCTCACCTTCAGTTTGTTTGTTTTGTTTCGTTTTTTTTTCTTTAAGACAGTCTCACCCTATCACCCAAGCTGGAGTGCAGTGGTGGTGTGATGTCAGCTCACTGCAACCTCTGCCTCCCGGATTCAAGCATTTCTCGTGCCTCAGCCTCCTGAGTAAATGAGATTACAGGCGCATACCACCACACTGGCTGATTTTTGTATTTTTAGTAGAGACGGGGTTTTGCTTTGTTGGCCAGGCTGCTCTCAAAATCCTGGCCTCGAGGGCCGGGCACAGTGGCTCAAGCCTGTAATCCCAGCACTTTGGGAGGCTGAGGCGGGTGGATCACGAGGTCAAGAGATCGAGACCATCCTGGTCAACATGGTGAAACCCCGTCTCTACTAAAAATACAAAAAGTTAGCTGGGCATGGTGGTGCGTGCCTATAATCCCAGCTACTCAGGAGGCTGAGGCAGGAGAATTGCCTGAACCCAGGAGGCGGAGGTTGCGGTGAGCCGAGATCGCGCCATTGCACTCCAGCCTGGGTAACGAGCAAAACTCCGTCTCAAAAAAAAAAAAAAAAAAAAAAAAATCCTGGCCTCAAGTGGTCCACCCTGCCTGGGCCTCCCAAAGTGTTGAGATTACAGGCATGAGCCACCTTGCCCAGCCTTCAGTTTGTATTTTGTTTTTAGTTGTGTGTTTTTTTTTTTGAGATGAAGTCTTGCTCTGTTACCCAGGTTGAAGTGCAGTGGCACAATCTTGGCTCACTGCAACCTCTGCCTCCTGGGTTCAAACGATTGTCCGCTCTCAGCCTCCCTAGTAACTAGGATTACAGGCACCCACCACCGCACCCAGCTTATTTTTTGTGTTTTTAGTAAAAATAGGGTTTCACCATGTTGGACAGGCTGGTCTCGAACTCCTGGCCTCAGGTGACCCACCCACCTTGGCCTCCCAAAGTGCTGGAATTACAGGTGTGAGCCACAGTCCATGGCCAGACCTTCAGTTTGTATTTTAAGCATTGCCTGAGATTCAACCTCAATTAAATACATTTGTGTGATCTATTTTAATAACATTTTCCTTGTAAATATCCTTTTAAGGAACTGGAAAAAGAACTGGAGTTACAAATTGGAATGAAAACTGAAATGGAAATTGCAATGAAGTTACTGGAAAAGGACACCCACGAGAAGCAGGACACGCTAGTTGCCCTCCGCCAGCAGCTGGAAGAAGTGAAAGCGATTAATTTACAGATGTTTCACAAAGCTCAGGTGGGAGTTGGCTTTGTGTCCATAGCACAGCCTGGTTTCTGCTGCTTGCCCGTCTTGTGTCATTCTTTTAGAATGATCGAGTAGACACATTGAGCCCTTTGTATGTGTCAGACCTGTTCCTAGGTCCTGTTATGTGTTACTGATTTTTATCATCACAGGAGTCTCTGAGAAATGGGGTGAAATGTAAATGACAAGACAGAACCAAGTGACTAAATTACATGCCCTGGTGACATAGCTCACAAGGAGAGGTCTTTTTAACCCAAACCCAAACTTTGTCCTTCCATCTTCACTGTCTCTCCACTGTCTGTTTCCTTCTATTTCAGTGATTCATTGTTTATACCAAGCATGGAGGAGTGAATTAAAGATGTAACTTAGTATTGTCTTTTCGAACTTTACCATTAAGTTAATCTTACACAGGTAACTAGTTGCCTCTCCGTGTCATTTCAGGGTGGTCCAGAGGAACCTGACAGACAGAATCAGTCATGCCAGAGTTGAAAAATGCCACGTAAAAATTAGAAAGCTGCCGGGCGCGGTGGCTCAAGCCTGTAATCCCAGCACTTTGGGAGGCTGAGGCGGGTGGATCACGAGGTCAAGAGATCGAGACCATCCTGGTCAACATGGTGAAACCCCGTCTCTACTAAAAAAAAAATACAAAAAATTAGCTGGGCATGGTGGCGTGTGCCTGTAATCCCAGCTACTCAGGAGGCTGAGGCAGGAGAATTGCCTGAACCCAGGAGGCAGAGGTTGCGGTGAGCCGAGATCGCGCCATTGCACTCCAGCCTGGGTAACAAGAGCGAAACTCTGTCTCAAAAAAAAAAAAAAAAAAAAAAAAAAAAAATTAGAAAGCTTTTGTTGCCCAGAAGCTACCCAGAAGGGCACCATTCTGCATCCTTTTCAAAACTTTTATTTGGGCCGGGCGCTCACACCTGTAATCCCAGCACTTTTGGATGCTGAGGCGGGCAGATCATAAGATCAGGATATCGAGACCATCCTGGCCATGGTAAAACCCCGTCTCTACTAAAATACAAAAAAAAATTAGCTGGGTGTGGTGGCATGCGCCTGTAGTCCCAACTACTCAGGAGGCTGAGGCCGGGGAATCACTTGAATCTGGGAGGAGGTGGTTGCAATGAGCTGAGATTGTGCCACTGCACTCCAGCCTGGTGAAAGAGCAAGACTCCATCTCAAAAAAAAAAAAAAAAAAAAGAAACTTTTATTTAACATTTCTGGTTCCTATTTTCTTGCCAAAACAGTCCCATTTCATTTTCCATGGATACAGCTTTACTCTTCCTATAACGTCTATGTCACAGATAGTATGAGACAGCAATAATAAACTTACTTTTTCCTGTCATTTTAAAACTTAATTGGCTGGGCACAGTGGCTCATGCCTGTATCCCAGCACTTTGGGAGGCCAAGGTGGACGGATTGCCTGAGGTCAGGAGTTCGAGACCAGCCTGACCAACATGGAGAAACCCCGTTTCTATTAAAAATAAAAAATTAGCCAGGCATGGTGGCGCATGCCTGTAATCCCAGCTACTCGGGAGGCTGAAGCAGAAAATTGCTTGAACCCAGGAGGCAGAGGTTGCCGTGAGCCAAGATCGCGCCATTGCACTCCAGCGTAGGCAACAAGAGCAAAACTCTGTCTCAAAAAAATATGTATTAATCAAGATTATAATAGCAACAGTAAAAATTGAAGTAAAACAAAAGAAGAAAGGAAGAATATGCATCTCTTCCCCAGTGATAAAACAGTTTTTTTTAATTTTAAGGGAAGAAAGAAAATAGTTTCACCTTCCTGACAAATCATCTATTTTAATTTTTTTATGTTTTCTTCTGGTATTAATTAGTAAACAGGCATAATATAAATATGTGTTTGTTAGGGAAAACTAAACTGCTGTAAGAACTTAGCAGACCCTAAAATCTCTGTCTGTTGACCAAATTTCCATGCTTGAAGGCAATGAAAAAAAAATACACACACACACACATTCCCATGTATATGGGAATTTGTATTTCTGTTATGTAATGGTTGCAGGATGGGCATTTCAGACTAGCACTTTTGTTCCCCGCAGTCATTCAGGGCCCTAACCGTCCGGGCCACTCTAGTCACCATTCTTGCCATTGGAAGGTAAGGGAAAAACGAAATTCCAGAGCTGGGGGCCGGGCGCGGTGGCTCAAGCCTGTAATCCCAGCACTTTGGGAGGCTGAGGCAGGTGGATCACCAAGTTAAGAGATCGAGACCATCCTGGTCAACATGGTGAAACCCTGTCTCTACTAAAAATACAAAACATTAGCTGGGCATGGTGGCGTGTGCCTGTAATCCCAGCGACTCAGGAGGCTGAGGCAGGAGAATTGCCTGAACCCAGGAGGCGGAGGTTGCGGTGAGCCGAGATCGCGCCATTGCACTCCAGCCTGGGTAACAAGAGCGAAACTCCGTCTCAAAAAACAAAAAACAAAACAAAACAAAAGTCCAGAGCCAGGACTTCCTCTCAGTCAGTGAGACAGGAGTTGCACACATTGTTTCCGGTCAGTTTCATGGGAAGGGGTTGGTCACCAGTGCGACGCTTATCTCCGAGGGGGACCTGGAAGCTCTTTTTTCCTGAGCTACAAGCCAGGGGAAGGAAAGAGAGATGTTGGTAGACAGATCATTGTTTCTACCACAGTCGGCCCATGGAAGCTGCTGTGACATCCCAGCTGGACCCTGCATCCTCCTGAAATCTGCAGTCCCTGGCTGATGTGTAGCCCTCTCCAGCAGCCCACGGGACCTGTGGCCCAGAAGGCTAGCATCTTTCTCCCGTTAGCCCGTTACCCACAGCATGAAACAGTGGAGCAGAAACAAGACTTACATAGTGGAAGTGCCCATGTGGAAAAGCGGGACACAGCATTCGCCAGCCCCTGGGGCAGGAACCACGAAGGCTGCTGCACCTCATGGTGGGCTCTGTTTTTTAGCATGCCTGGCCACCCTGGTTCTGCCTTTGGAAGAACTTTTTGATCAGCTGACCCCACATGCCCCAAGAGGTCCCCCATCATCTATGGCCACATCTGAAGAGGGCTCAGAGCATACCCTCTTGGGGGCTGTGCAGCTTTTACAACCAGCTTCTTCAGCCAGCTTCTTGCTGGGATCTCTTGGCCAGCCTGGCTGTTGTAGCAGGGATCAGTCACAGGTGTTTTTCAGGCCAGACTCGATGCCTTTCATAAGGCAGTTGCCTCAGTCGCAGCCTCTGTTCAGTTGACTTCTCCTCGGTCTGTGTGTCAGTGACCAGCGTTCCTCCCTGAACTCGACTGTTCTTGCTCCTGCCTTATTGCTTTGCTTCTTTGCTGTGTGTCTATGTCTTTCCGTCTCCCTCTCCCTCTGTCATGTGAATGAGCGGTCATCTGAAACAACAGATGTAGGTGTGAGAGAAGCACCTTTGATACGGTCTTCACTGCACAGCTGTTTATAGCACCTTCATTGCTGTTCTTAGTCTTATCTATTTAGGGCCCAGAACCAGTTAACGTTTCTGGTTCCGTGAGGTCCCTACTGTTGGCCTCTTTATTCCTGTTCATCTCTCTGTGCCAGCCAGCTGACTCCCACCTGTGCATGGCCCTTCCTCATAACACCTTTTTCAGACAGCGGAACAGCCAACACGCACTCTCCTGGCTCCTGCAGCTCTTTCCAGGTATTGCTGGCACTGCTGGCCTGTGCTGTTTGCCAAGCTTAGGCAAGTGACAGTTGTACCCAACACTTTGCCATAGCTAACAGGGATCACCAGCTTTATAGCTGCCAGCGTCTACTTTGATAGCACCCACACCCCTGCCTCCCAAGTCAGTGCCACATATGGTCAGTTTTCTTTTTCTTTTCTTTTCTTTCTTTTTTTTTTTTTTTTTTTTTCTGAGACAGGGTCTGGCTTCGTCACCCAGGCTGGAATACAGTGGTGAGATCTCAACTCACTGCAACCTCCACCTCCCAGGTTCAACCAGTTTTCCTACCTCAGCCCCCCGTGTAGTTGGGATTATAGGTGCATACCACCATGCCAGCTAATTTTTGTATTTTTGGTGGAGACAGGGTTTCACCATGTTTCCCGGGCTGTTCTTAAATTCCAGAGCTCAAGCAGTCTGGCCCGCTTCAGCCTCCCAAAGTATTGTGATTACAAGTGTGAGCCACCACACGTGGCCCGGTATGGTTGGTTTTCATTTGAGAAGCGCCACACACCAAGAGACCGTCTGGTACTGCTAGGATTGTAGCCTCTTGTTTTCACCCCAAACCCTTTTTCCCCTTTGGGCTTCCAATGTAGATGGTTGAGTCAATCATATTCCTTTTTTTTTTTTTTGAGAGGGAGTTTCGGCCGGGTGCGGTGGCTCACGCCTGTAATCCCAGCACTTTGGGAGGCCGAGGTGGGCGGATCACGAGGTCAAGAGATCCAGACCATCCTGGTCAACATGGTGAAACCCCGTCTCTACTAAAAATACAAAGATTAGCTGGGCATGGTGACGCGTGCCTGTAATCCCAGTTCGGGAGGCTGAGGCAGGAGAATTGCCTGAACCCAGGAGGCGGAGGTTGCGGTGAGCCAAGATCGCACCATTGCACTCCAGCCTGGGTAACAAGAGCGAAACTCCGGCTCAAAAAAAAAAAAAAAAAAAAAAAAGAGAGAGGGAGTTTCACTCTTGCTGCCCAGGTTGGAGTGCAATGGTGTGATCTCAGCTCACTGCAGCCTCCAGCCTCCACCTTCCTGGTTCAAGCGTTTCTCCTTGCTCAGCCTCCCAAGTAGCTGGGATTACAGGCATGTACTACCATGCCCAGCTAAGTTTTGAATTTTAGTAGAGATGGGATTTCATCATGTTGGTCAGGCTGGTCTTGAATTCCTCAAGTGATCCACCCGCCTCAGCCTCCCAAAGTGCTGGTATTACAGGCATGAGCCACCATGCCTGGCCTGTCTTAATATTCTTTACTGTTGTTGTTTCATACTTAATTGATTTCTACCACGGCATAACAAGAAATATGTATTTGGTTTCTGCCCCTGGTTTCTAGTCTGCAGCTTCTTTTTTTTTTTTTTTTTTTTTTTGAGACGAGTTTCACTCTTGTTACCCAGGCTGGAGTGCAATGGTGCAATCTCGGCTCACCGCAACCTCCGCCTCCTGGGTTCAGGCAATTCTCCTGCCTCAGCCTCCTGAGTAGCTGGGATTACAGGCATGCACCACCATGCCCAGCTAATTTTTTGTGTTTTTAGTAGAGACAGGGTTTCACCATGTTGACCAGGATGGTCTCGATCTCTTGACCTCGTGATCCACCCGCTTCAGCCTCCCAAAGTGCTGGGATTACAGGCGTGAGCCACCGCGTCCGGCCTGTCTGCAGCTTCTTAAACCCTTAGATACTCTAGAGCAGGCGTACCCAAACTATGGCCTGCAGGCCGCATGCGGCCCCTTGAGGCCATTTATCTGGCCCCCTGCCGCACTTCAGGAAGGGGCACCTCTTTCATTGGTGGTCAGTGAGAGGAGCACAGTATGTTTCGGCCCTCCAACGGTCTGAGGGACAGTGGACTGGCCCCCTGTGTAAAAAGTTTGGGGACGCCTGCTCTAGAGTGATAAGAGTCTTTTGTATGCTAACAACAGGTATAGCTGGGGGCTTCTAGGTAGCTTTCAGGTGGTCACTGGTCCCACAGCATGGTTATAGAGTTAGAACTTTTCAGCCCCACTCCTTGAGGGAGGGGAGAAGGACTGGAGATTGAGCTAATCACCAGTGATCAATGATTTAATAGTCATGGCTACATAATGAGATCTCCCTAAAAACCCTAAACAACGAGGTTCAGAGAGCATCTGGGCTAATGACTTCCTCAAGGTGCTGGGAGGGTGGCGTATCTAAAGAGATGTGGAAGCTCTGCACCCCTTCTCCCATCCTGTGTCCTGTGTGTCTCTTCCATTTGGCTGTTCGTTTGTAAGAAACCAGTAATAGTAAAGTGCCTTCCTTAGTTCCAGCAGCCATTCTAGCAAAGCTGAGGAGGGGGTCGTGGGAACCCCCAGGCTATTGCCACTTGGTCAGAAATGCAGTGGAAATCTGGGATTTGGAACTGGTGTTTCAAGTGGGACAGTCTTGTGAGACTGAGCCCATAATCTGTGGAGTGTGCACTAACTCTGAGTAACTATGGGAGTATCAGAATTGAGTTATCAGACACCTAATTAGTGTCAGAATTGCTTGTTGGTGTGGAAAACACACACAGCTGGTGTCAGTAATGTGACTGGAACAGCTCCCCCTCACCTTTATGTTCTACTTGTTTTATTTGAGTTTGCTCTGTAGCTCATTTTCAACTTCTGAAATGCACACCAAGTGCATGGGTTTTGTCTCTGTTTCATTAAAAAATTTACTTAAAGTTAAAAATTACCCACAAGATCTACTTTAGCTGTGTCTCTCAAATTGTGACTGAAGTATTGCATAATCACAGAAGCACATTTTTCCCATTTTAGCATCTCTGAAATTGAGATGCATCTTTTAGTCAAGATGGCGTATCCTGTTTCAATCCGCACTGTTTTCCTTTCTCAGTTGTGTATGAAATTATGGTGTTTCCTAGACTCAGTGGCATCTTCAATGCAGTGAAATATCATGTGGTGTTTGCATTCTTTTAGCTCTAAGTATTTCACAATTCCCCCGCCCCCTTTTTTTAGCTCAATCCTTTCTAGTAATATGCCATTTAGATTTCAGATGAGAGGTGTTTCTAGCTATCCTTTTGTTATTGATGTCTGATTTTGGCCGAGTGTGGTGGCTCATGCCTGTAATCCCAGCACTTTGGGAGACCAGTGCAGGTGGATCATGAGGTCAGGAGATCAGGACCATCCTGGCTAACACAGTGAAACCCCATCTCTATTTAAAAAAAAAAAAAAAAAAAAACAAAGAAATACAAAGAATAGCCTGGGTGTGGTGGCAGGCGCCTGTAGTCCCAGCTACTTGGGAGGCAGAGGCAAGAGAATCACTTAAACCTGGGAGATGGAGGTTCCAGTGAGTCAAGATCGTTCCACTGCACTCCAGCGTGAACTACAGAGTGAGACTCTGTCTCAAAAAAAAAAGGTTTGATTTTATTACATTAAGGTCAGAGAATACAGTCTGTATGTCATTTTTCAGGAATTTATTAGGGCTTCTGTCTTCAGGCTTTTTTTTTTTTAAGACAGAGTCTCCCTCTATCCGCACTCACTTCAGCCTCTGTCTCCTGGGCTCAGTCGATTCTCCTACCTGAGCCTCCTGAGTAGCTGGGATTACAGGTGTATATCACCACACCCAGCTAGTTTTTATAGTTTTAGTAGAGACAGGGTTTCACCATGTTGGTCAGGCCAGTCTCGAACTCCTGACCTCAGGTAATGCACCCGCCTTTGCCTCCCAAAGTGCTGGGATTATTGGCGTGAGCCACTGCTCCCCCCGCCACACCCCTGCCCCTGGCCTGTCCTTTTTTTTTTTTTTTTTTAATTGCATTTTAGGTTTTGGGGTACATGTGGAGAACATGCAAGATTGTTGCATAGGTACACACATGGCAGTGTGGTTTGCTGCCTTCCTTCCCCTCAGCTGTATCTGTTATTTCTCCCCATGCTATCTCTCCCCACCTCCCCACCCCACCGTTCTTCCCCTATTTCCCCCCAATGGACCCCAGTGTGTAGTGCTCCCCTCCCTGTGTCCATGTGTTCTCACTGTTCAACACCCGCCTATGAGTGAGAACATGCGGTGTTTGATTTTCTGCTCTTGTGTCAGTTTGCTGAGAATGATGGTTTCCAGGTTCATCCATGCCCCTGGCCTGTCTTCAGGCTTTTTAAAGGTGTCTCTTGTAAACACTCAGGAACACACAGTGCCCCCTCCTGGCCACTCTGTATCTGTCATGGCTAAAAGCTGTACTTACTGTAGAAAATCACACAGACGTAGGTGTGAACCCAGTTCCCCTCCTCATTTGCTCTTAACCTTCATCCAGTATCTTTCTTCTGAGCTTCCATTTCTCAGTGGGAAAAGTGGGGTGAGAACATCTTCCTTGAGAACCCTTCTGGGCTGAGATGAACTAGTGGATGTGCCTGGCACGTGGGGACAGCTGGGGAACACTGAGTCTGACCTGACTGGAATACGTTGTGGAAAAGGAGCAGAGACTCCAGGACCTGCCTCTCTGCCTTTCCTTCTGTTGACAAAGCTGGGAGCCTTGACTCAGTTTGTCTCCCAGGGCTCTGGAGAAGAGTAGCAATTAGCAGAATACTCTTGAAAGTGTCACGAAGGTACAAGGTTAAAAGCCCCATTTGTAATCCAGAGCATGCGCAGGACATGCAGAGTATGAAGCCCTCCTTTGCTTTTGTAGAATGCAGAGAGCAGTCTGCAACAGAAGAATGAAGCCATCACTACCTTTGAAGGAAAAACCAACCAAGTGATGTCCAGCATGAAACAGATGGAAGAGAGGTAATTATCCCACTGGCAGATATTCTCTGGCAGGTGCTGAGCATTCCCTGGGCCTGGAGACTTACTCAGAGTCCCTCTCAAACGTGCAGGGGTAATGGGATGACTGGCCATAGTCTTGCCCAGCAAGAGGACTAGGTTCAGCAGCCTTGCCTAGCTTTTTTTTTTTTTTTTTTTTTTTTTTTTGAGACAGAGTCTCACTCTGTTGCCCAGGCTGGAGTGCAGTGGCATGATCTTGGCTCACTGCAACCTCCACCTCCCGGGTTCAAGCCATTCTCTTGCTTCAGCCTCCCAAGTATCTGGAATTACTGGAGCCACCGCTCCCAGCGTTGCCTAGCTTTTAATCAACCTTTGGCAACTGCATCAGATGCTCCTGTTGGTGCATTACAACTGTACTATGAACTCCTTGACACTATCACATTTAAATACCAGGGCAGCAATGGATCAGTATAAAGTTTAAAAAAAGACCCAGACAGATAAGACCAACTTCTTTTTACAAAGTTGCTGAGGCAGTTCAGTGGAGAAGGGATAGTCTTGTCAATAAATGATGTCAATAAATGCTGTTGGGTGCTGGGCACAGTGGCTCATGCCTGTAACTCCAACACTTTGGGAGGCTGAGGTGGGAGGATCACTGGAGGCCAGGAGTCCAAGACCAGCCTGGGCAGCAGAGGGAGATGCTGTCTTAAAAAAAAAAGTTATGTTGGAGCAATTAGCTATTCCATATGCCAGAAAATGAACCTTGGCCAGGTGCAGTGGCTCCCGCCTGTAATCCCAGCACTTTGGGAAGCCAAGGCGGGTGGATCACAACATCAGGAGTTCAAAACCAGCCTGGCCAACAAACATAGTGAAACTTCATCTCTACTAAAAATACAAAAAAGTTAGCTAGGTGTGGTGGCACACGCCTGTAGTCCCAGCTACTCGGGAGGCTGAGGCAGAAGAATTGCTTGAACCCAGGAGGCGGAGGTTACAGTGAGTCGAGATGGTGCCAATTGCACTCTATCCTGGGCAACAGAGCAAGACTCTCTCTCAAAAAAAAGAAAAAGAGAAAGAAGCGACACAATCCCACCACACACCTGTTAGAACAGCTACGGTTTCTTTAATGACAATACCAAGTGCCAGTGAGGACACAGAACAAATGGATCTCTCATACATTATTGGTGGGAATGCAAAATGGCGCAACCACTTAGGAAAACAGTTTCTCAAAAAGCTGACCATCCTCTTACCATATGATCCAAATAGAAATGAAACTTATATCTACACAAAACCAGTACACATGTTCATAGCAGCTCTGTTCAACTACCGCCAAATACTAGAAGCAGTTACAATGTTCTGCTCTAGGTGAGTGGATAAACAAACTGGCACATCTGTGTGGTGAAATACAGCTCAGCCATAAAAAGGAATGAACCATTAATATACATGGAAACTCGGATTGATCTCAAAGACATTATTCTGAGAAAAAGCCAGTCTCAAGGTTATATAAAGTATAATTACACTTATATTACAGTCTTAAAAAGCCAAAGCCTCATTGTTGCAGAACAGATGAGTGGTTACCAGGGGCTGAGGTGGGAGACTGTGTGACTCCAGAGGGGCAGCACTTGGGAGTTTTGGGAGTGGTGGAACTGTCCTGTATCCTGATTGTAGTGGAGCTGAGTCTCCACATGTTAAAACTCACAAGAGTTAATTTTACTTGATGTTAATTTTAAAAAGAAGTTCAGTCAGCAAAGGTATACAAAAGTCATCCTTTCCTTACAAGATTTGCTTCATTTGTGCTCTTCCTGCTGGTGTTGCATCCAGGTTGCAGCACTCAGAGCGGGCGAGGCAGGGGGCCGAGGAGCGGAGCCACAAGCTGCAGCAGGAGCTCGGCGGGAGGATCGGCGCCCTGCAGCTGCAGCTGTCCCAGCTGCACGAGCAATGGTAGGGGCCTTGCAGTGAGCCTAGGCTGGGGCGTGGCTCAGGACGGACTGCGGAGAACTGGGGGCAGGTAGTATCCTGCTTCAGCATTCACCCCTGGAGGTGTAGTATGTCATTCCTAGGGAGCTCCCTCCTCACAGGGCTCCTCACGTGGTCCAGCTAGCCTCCAGGAGGTCTGGCCGCTCTCAGACCATGGTCCCATGTTGTAGACTTTGTCACCCTTGACCAGCCCTTTCCAAAAAAGCAATTTTATCAATGTTGAGCAGAAAGCCACCTTTCACCTAGCCTTTGCTGATACAGGCTTCATATAATTTTATGCACAATTTGTCTGTAGATTTTTTTTTTTTTTTTTTTTTTTGAGACGGAGTTTCGCTCTTGTTACCCAGGCTGGAGTGCAATGGCGCGATCTCGGCTCACGGCAACCTCCGCCTCCTGGGTTCAGGCAATTCTCCTGCCTCAGCCTCCTGAGTAGCTGGGATTACAGGCACGCGCCACCATGCCCAACTGATTTTTTGTATTTTTAGTAGAGACGGGGTTTCACCATGTTGACCAGGATGGTCTCGATCTCTCGACCTCGTGATCCACCCGCCTCGGCCTCCCAAAGTGGGATTACAGGCTTGAGCCACTGTGCCCGGCTGTCTGTAGATTTTTTAACAGTCTCACTCTGTCGTACAGGCTGGAGTGCAGTGGTGTAGTCTCTGCACCTGCAACTTCCGCCTCCCAGGCTCAAACAATTCCTGTGCCTCAGCCTCATGAGTAGCTGGGCCTACAGGTGCAAACCAAAACACCTGGCTAGTTTTTGTATTTTTAGTAGAGACAGGCTTTTGCCATGTTGGCCAGGCTGGTCTCAATCTTCTGGCCTCAAGTGATCCACCCATCTTGGCCTCCCAAACTGCTAGGATTACAGGCGTGAGCCACCATGCCTGGCCTGTAGATTTTTTGAGATGGTATAAATGCCAAGCCAAAAGCCTGATATTGAAAAGAGAGAGAGTCATCTTTAGTCCCACAAAGAGAGAGAAGACTCCAGGGGATCCAGCAGTGCCCCCAGGGCCACTGAGCTGGTACAAGGGAGGAGTCAGGTTCAGGCTGAGGCTCACTCCTGGCCTCCCTCCAGGATCCTTCATTGTCAGCCTGGCCACAGGATATAGAAAGCAGAATGAGGCTGGGTGCAGTGGCTCACACCTGTAATTCCAACACTTTGGGAGGCCAAGGTGGGAGGATCACATGGTGGGCGGATCACAAGGTCAGGAGTTCAACACCAGCCTGGCCAACATGGTAAAACCTTGTCTCTACTAAAAATACAAAAAATTAGCCAGGCATGGTGGTGGGTGCTTGTAATCCCAGATACTCAGGAGGCTGAGGCAGGAGAATCACTTGAACCCGGGAGGGTTCAAGGATCTCTGCAAGGAGGGTTCAAGGATACAGTGTCCTTGCTCACCTGTGTGCAGAGGTTGCAGTGAGCCAAGATCACGCCACCACACTCCAGCCTGGGCAACAGAGCAAGACTCCATCTCAAAAAAGAAAAAACAAAGAAAGCAGAATGAATTGGCTAGAATGGAGTGGCTCATGCCTGTAATCCCTGTACCTTGGGTAGCCAGAGCGGGAGGATCGGCTGAGCCCAGGAGGTTGAGGCTGCAGTGAGCTGAGGTTGCACCACTGCTCTCCAGCTGGGGTAACAGAGCTAGACCCTGTCTCACAAAAAAGAACACATTTTGAACTTCCTTTCTTCAGGTCTCTATGTCAGGGGAGATTCTGCTTATGTGGTCCTAAGTGTTCTGGAGCTCTCTTTCTTCTCTCCTGCATAACTGTCCAGTGTGTCCCTGCAGGCTTTTCTCTCCTTGGTTTCTGCTCTTTTTTTGTGGAAGGGTAGGTGACCCTGGGGGAGAGGGAAGCCTTGCCGAAGGGTTTAGATGCTCCAGTGCCAATTCAGAGAGTTCTCCGTTTCCTGGGCGGTGAATCGGGTTGTGCATCTTCCATGAAAATCTCCCACTGGGACTAACTCAAGTTCATTTTGGGAAAACAGCTCAAGCCTGGAGAAAGAATTGAAATCTGAAAAAGAGCAAAGACAAGCTCTTCAGCGCGAATTACAGCATGAGAAAGACACTTCCTCTCTACTCAGAACAGAGCTACAACAGGTGGAAGGACTGAAAAAGGTGAGGTGGGCCGGCCTGGGAGAGGAGGGCTCTGGCAGCCCCGAAAGCCCCTGCCCGGCTCCTGGCAGACTCCTCTCTCTGCTCCCTTGTGTGGGAGCCAGGCAGCTCCAGGGTGTGGGGAGGCTGTTCCCCACCTAGGGAGCTCCTGTTTTAGGAGCTTAAGGCAAAGACAAAGCATAAGCCATGAAGCCTGCTGGCCAGCTCAGACAAAGGTGAGTGTCATGAAGAGAATAAAGCAGAACAGTGTCCTCGGTGGCCTGTGTGCAGAGGTCTGGGGAGGGAGCGATCGGTGAGCAGAGGCTCCAGTGAGTGATGCCCTGCAGAGTACCTCGGGCAGAGACTGCAGGAGCAGACAGGAGTGTGAGGAGCAAAGGGGAGGCCTCAGGCGGCAGGCAGGAGGGAGCCCTTCATGGGCCCTGTGAGCAGGGGAGGAATGTGAGTTTTACTCTGAGCACAACAGGAGGTTGGTGGAGGGACAGGATCCATTTCATTGGCGGACAGTCATTGGCTACTGTGTGGAGAGTGGATGGTAGGCTTGCAGGAGAGGAAACGGGGGGGATCCAGTAAACATCTGTGACCACATGCCAGTCCTCACCTCAGCCACTCTGCCCAGGGTCAGGCCATCCCTGGGAGCAGACTGACCCCGCCCTCCACTTCCCCAACATCACCTCAGTCTCCTGGAACACCCTCTCACTTGGAGGCATGGCCTGGATGCTGTGGGCCTCAGAGGGCCAGAGAAGTAGGGTCCGGCAGGCCTTCACTGCTGTGGAGCTGGACCTCCCGGGAAACTCTGAGGCAGTGTGAAACATTTGCCCCCAAGTAAAATCATTGGCTGTCTTCCCAGAGCGGAGGAGGCTCTGCGATCCTGGACAGAGCTGACTGCAGCTCGGGGCGCTATGGGGGGCTCCTCCCTTGTGGGGATGGGGTGGCCTCTTCTCAGGCCTCTGCACTGCTGACTGTTGCAGCACAACTGAGCCCAAACTGGGCTTCTCTAGGCACCTTCCCAGGAGGGGCCTGCAGGGCTGGGGTGACTTCTGGACCTGGATTTTGTTGCATTGAACATGGTAATGGACACCACTGCACGAGTCGAGTGAGTCGGGAAAGGCCCTTTTGATTTCTAGTGGAAAGTGCCTGGAGTGGTTGGGATAGGGAGAGCTTCCTCAAGAGCCAGGTCAGGCTTGGAGAGTGGAAGGGAGGAAGGGGAGGGCAGAAGAGGACTTCTAGAAAGTTCTGTCTCATCCCCGGGCATACCTCCTTTATTCTGCTTCAGAATGCTTCAGTCAAAAGATTCGAATTACACAATTACAGCCGGCCCCAACAATAGGAGCAGAACAATGTCCGATATCCCCAGTGAAGCCCCAGCGTGCCTCATGAGTGTGTGCTTAGAAGCAGAAGCTGCGGCACAGGGTGTGCAGGGAGCTGCCCCCTGCTCAGGCCTAAGCTCCACCGTTGCCCTCCATGGTCCCAGAAACCCCCGTTACTTTCTGGGTCTCTGTCCTGGCCTTACCAGCCCGGCTCAAGGTGCCCTGACCCCAGGTGTCAGTGCCATTGTCCCTGGGGAGCTCCCTCCCTGCAGGGCTCCTCACATGGTCCAGCCAGCCTCTGGGTGTTCTAGCCATGAAATGAGGCCCAGATCACCCTCTTCATCAACCCTTGACCAGTGCTTTCCAAAAAAGCAACTTTTTGAGAGTTGAACAGAAAACCACCCTTCAAACTAGTCTTTGCAAGTTTCTTGTAATTTTGTTTAGGGGTTTTCTATAGATTTTTTGAGATAGCGATCTGTTTTGTAAAAAGTTTATCTTTTGAAAAGAAGCTCAAATAGGCAAAGCCTCATTTGTCCTGGGAGGGAAATTTTTTTTTTTTTTGAGATGGAGTCTTGCTCTGTCACCCAGGCTGGAGTGTAGTGGCACAATCTCAGCTCACTGCAACCTTCACCTACCCAGTTCAAGCGATTCTTGTGCTGCAGCCTCCCAAGTAGCTGGGATTACAGGCATGTGCCACCATTCCCTGCTAATTTTTCTATTTTTAGTAGAGGAGGGGTTTCGCCATGTTGGCCAGGCTGGCCTTGAATGCCTGACCTCAGGTGATCCACCCACCTCAGACTCCCACAGTGCTGGTATTACAGCTGTTTGAACCACCGTGCCCGGCTGAGGGTAACTTTTTTCTTTTTTTTTTTTTTTTTTTTTTGGAGTCTTACGCTGTTGCCTAGGCTAGAGTGCAGTGGCATGATCTTGGCTCACTGCAACCTCTGCCTCCCAGGTTCAAGCAATTTTCCTGCCTCAGCCTCGTGAGTAGCCGGGGTTACTGGCATGTGCCATCACACCCAGCTAATTTTTTGTATTTTTAGTAGAAACGGGGTTTCACCATGTTGGCCAGGCTGGTCTCGAACTCCTGACCTCAAGTGATCCACCTGCCTCAGCCTCCCAAGGTGCTGGGATTACAGGTGTGAGCCACTGCACTCAGCTACTCAGGAGGCTGAGGCAGGAGAATTGCTTCAACCCAGGAGGCAGAGATTGCAGTGAGCCGAGATCGCACCACTGCACTACAGCTTGGGCAACAATGCGAGACACCGTCAAAAAAAAAAACTTGTAATCCTCTGTCCAGCAGCATCTGGTTGGTTTGCTCATTTTAGGAGTTGCGGGAGCTTCAGGACGAGAAGGCAGAGCTGCAGAAGATCTGCGAGGAGCAGGAACAAGCCCTCCAGGAAATGGGCCTGCACCTCAGCCAGTAAGAACCCCACTCCCCTCGTCTGCCTCTGCAGGCATGCCAGGCTACCCACCACGTCCCTCAGGCCCCACACCTACCTCCTTTTGGCAAAAGGAGGGTGGGCTGTTTAGGAGCCTTATCCGCTGTTCACTGATGAGCTTTCAGCAAGCTAAGCCTCAGAGGGACCCAGCACTGATTTCTGCTAACCGCATGGGGATGTTAGTCAGCTCTTAGTTAATTCATTGAGCACATTCATTCCTAGTGACCAGGACACTCCTGTTCCTTAGCTTCGTATCCAGGGCCTTAGGGAACAGATAGGCAATGAGAGCGTTGCTTGATGGGCCTACAGTCAGGCCAGAGGGAGCATGGCTGGTTTGAGAATGGAAGCCTGGCATGGTGGCAGTGCACTCACCGGCCTTGCACAGCACAGCCCAGCCCCCTTCCTTTCTGGGAACTGGCCATTGCATCTGCCAGAGTCTGCCTCTCTGCTGCCGGTGCTGCTAGTTCTGCTCCCCTCTGACTTGACAGCTCTCCTCCCTGATGTCCCAGTCTGGACACAGTGCTGTGGATACCTGGGCCTTGGGGTAGATCACACTGCAGATGGTAGAACTTGTCCATTCGTGTGATGATTGCATTTTCAACAGAATGGGTGGCTTTTTCTCCTCAAGTCAGGACTCATGGTTGCAAGTAACAGAAATCCAATTCAAAGTGGCTTAAGCAAAAGAAGCCATCAGGAATCGGTCTCTGTCTCCTACCTCTGCTGTCCTGTCTACCTCACAGGTGGGTCTGGATCATGCAGGGGCAAAACAGCACCCAGCAGGGCCATCTGTCAGAGGAACAAAGTCTCTCTTTCTGCATAGCTCCCAAGATGACCCGAGGTTGACTCTCTGCTCCTCTGAGTACCTGTGTCTGACATAAGCACCATGACCAAGGAGATGGCCTCATGACCTCAGCACAGCCTGGGCTCAGGTCCAGCACTTCATACATGTGACCAGAGAAGGTCCACACATGGTGACCAAAATGAGAATCAATTCGAACCACACTACTGTATAGATGTGTGCAGCCTTAGAATTTTTCTCGCAGTTTAGAAATTCGGAGTCTAGGCCAGGCGCGGTGGCTCAAGCCTGTAATCCCAGCACTTTGGGAGGCCGAGGCGGGTGGATCACAAGGTCGAAAGATCGAGACCATCCTGGTCAACATGGTGAAACCCCGTCTCCACTAAAAATACAAAAAAAATTAGCTGGGCATGGTGGCACATGCCTGTAATCCCAGCTACTTAGGAGGCTGAGGCAGGAGAATTGCCTGAGACCAGGAGGCGGAGGTTGCGGTGAGCCAAGATCGCGCCATTGCACTCCAGCCTGGGTAACAAGAGCGGAACTCCGTCTCAAAAAAAAAAAAAGAAAAAAGAAAAAAAAGAAATTCGGAGTCTAGTACTATTAAGAAAATGGGCTGGGCACAGTTGCTCACACCTGTAATCCCACACTTTGGGAGGCTGAGGCAGACAGATCACCTGAGGTCAGGAGTTCAAGGCCAACATGGTGAAACCCTGTCTTTACTAAAATTAGAAAAATTAGCCAGGTGTGGTGGCAGGCACCTGTAATCCCAGCTACTCGGGAGGCTGAGACGTGAGTATGGCTTGAACCTGGGAGGCAGAGGTTGCAGTGAGTCAAGATTGTGCCACTGCATTCCAGCCTGGGTGACAGAAGCGAGATTACTTCTCAGAAAAAAACAAAATAGCTAGGCAAGGAATCTGATATCTCTGGTGGGAATGTGGTCTGCCCACTCCCAGATACGGGTGTGGCCCACTCGCCATCTCTCCTACTCCCCCTACCTTTCTAGACCAGCTCATGGCCGCTGCCCCCTCCCCTCCCACCCTCTACCCTGCCTGCAGCCCACTTGACGAAGTGCCCTGTGCTGCTCTCTTCTGGTCTGTCAACTTGCCGTGCTCTGGCCCCTGCCCTCCCCAACCCCCAGGGAACTCCTTGAGCCGAAGGCCCGGTGTCTGTCCCAATCCTCAGAGCGTAGGCCAGCTGTGAGCGCATCCCAAGAGCACTCCTGAGAAGCAGACATGGAACACAGGCTGCCGTGGAGCTGGCTTCTGGGGGTTGCAGCCAGTGTTTTCCTCTTTACGTTAGGTGGGTAGCAAGGCAGTGCCAACAGGTCCGCTCCTAGTGGACCACGGACCTCAAACCTGTGGCTGGTCTCTAATCTTTAAAATGTATCATTGCCCTTTGTGTCTGCCTGGTGCTACGAGCTCACCTAGCTTCCAGATCCCAGTGTGAGCTGCCTGGCCACTGTTCCCTCACGGGGAATGCTGTGGGTGTCACATCGTCAGGTATGTGCAGACCCAGAAAGGATGCCTGAGGAGTCGCTTTGTGCCGTCTCCCCTTCCTCGTCTTCCAGGCCTATGTCAGTTGACAGAGATGGAAAAGCCTCTTCGCAGAGCCCTGCATTAGCTTCAGGAAAACTGTCCAGTTTCATTATCTTGGGAACATCTGGATTCTTCCTAAATTGTGTTTCCCAGAGTTCTTACATGTTCAGTTTGCCATCTTTTTTTTTTTTTTTTTTTTTTTTGAGACGGAGTTTCACTCTTGCTACCCAGGCTGGAGTGCAATGGCGCGATCTCGGCTCACCGCAGCCTCCGCCTCCTGGGTTCAGGCAATTCTCCTTTCTCAGCCTCCTGAGTAGCTGGGATTACAGGCACGCGCCACCATGCCCAGCTAATTTTTTGTATTTTTAGTGGAGACGGGGTTTCACCATGTTGACCAGGATGGTCTCGATCTCTTGACCTCGTGATCCACCCGCCTCAGCCTCCCAAAGTGCTGGGATTACAGGCTTGAGCCACCACACCCGGCCCAGTTTGCCATCTTGACATAGCTTCCTGAGGTCTGACCATCTGGGCAGCCTCTTCTGATCCTGTCAGTCTGCTGGCCTGTTTCCTGTTTCTGCAGCCAGACCAGGAAGGGAAGGAGCTGCCTCTCAGTCATGAGTAAAAGCCACAGGGTTTTTTCTAAATGCCTTAATGCTGTTTCCTAATCCCTCCCTTAGAAGTCTAGCCTGTGTTTCCCAGAGAACCGGCATTTTGTCACTTAGATTAGTCTAATCTGATAATAGTTCAGACTAATCTCAGTTTTGTTTGTTTTTTGAGACAGAGTCTTGCTCTGTTGCCCAGGCTGGAGTGGAGTGGCACAATCTTGGCTCACTGCAACCTCTGCTTCCCAGGTTCAAGTGATCTGCCTGCCTCAGCCCCTCTATTAGCTAGGATTACAGGCATGTGCCACACAATATTTTTATATTTTTAGTAGAGACAGGATTTTACCATGTTGGCCAGGCTGCTTTCAAACTCCTAACCTCAGGTGATCCACCCTCCTCAGCCTCCCAAAGTGCTGGGATTACAGGTGTGAGCCACTGCACCTGGCCAATCTCCATTTTTAAGAAAGACATAGGCCAGGCTGGACGCATTGGCTCACACCTGTAATCCCAGCACTTTGGGGGGCTGAGGTGGGTGGATCTACTAAAAATACGAAAATGTGGCAGGTGGCTATAATCCCAGCAACTCAGGAGCCTGAGGCAGAGAATTGCTCAAACCCGGGAAATGGAGATTCCAATGAGCCGAAATCCTGCATTCCAGCCTGGGCGAAAGGAAGAAACTCCTTTGAAAAAACAAAAACAAAAAAAAGTAAAAGAAAGGGCCAGGCACGGTGGCTCACCCCTGTAATCCCAGGACTTTGGGAAGCTGAGGCAGGCAGATCATGAGGTCAAGAGTTCGAGACCAGCCTGACCAATATGGTGAAATCCCTTCTCTACTGAGAATCCAAAAATTAGCTGGGCGTGGTGGCGCATGCCAGTAGTCCCGGCTACTCAGGAGGCTGAGGCAGGATAATCACTTGAACCCAGGAGGTAGAGGTTGCAGTGAGCTGAAATTGCACCACTGCATCCCAGCCTGGGTGACAGACCAAGATTCTCTCTCAGAAAAAAAAAAAAAAGTACAAGAAAATTACCTGGGATGACAGGTGGTGGGCACCTGTCATCCCAGCTTCTTGGGAAGCTGAGGCAGGATAATTGCTTGAACCCAGGAAGCGGAGGTTTGCAGCGAGCTGAGATCATGCCACTGCACTCCAGCCCGGGTGACTCAGCAAGCTGGGCATGATGGCTCGCACCTTTAGTCCCAGCTACTTGGAAGGCTGAAGTGGGATGATCGCTTGAGCCCAGGAGGCCAAGGCTACAGTGACCTGTGATTGCACCACTGCATTCCAGCTTGGGCAATAGAGCAAGACCCTGTCTCCAAAAAAAAAAAAAAAAAAAAAAAAAGAATTAGACTGTTTCCCCAGATTGCACAAACTGCTCATTTTATTTGCCTTAGTTCTGCCAATTTAGACCATGTTCAGCCCTCTTACAGAAACAAAGGAATTGTTGTTCTGATGCTAACAAGAATGGAGCAAGAACAAATGGCTGTGGCCTCTGAGCCTGCCCCTTCCAGACAGCAGGCAGCAGCACGTAGGCCAGGGAGAAGCCTGCACTCAGGTTCCTGCTGCGGAGGGCAGAAGAGACTAGTGCAGAGCAGGGCCAGGCCTTGGACTTCTGGCCTTAGGCGAACCTCTCGCCTCAGCCTCGCTCAAAATCTTTTCACCCGCTGCAGGCTAAGCAAGTGTGTGTTTGTGCCGGTTGCAGCCCCTAGGCTCAGCCTTGGCCCTCAGCAGACATGGAGGCCAGTGTGATGAGGCAGCTCCGGGACTGTACAAAGGCAGAAGGGATTTCAGAACATCTCATATTCTGGGTCTCCTCACAAGTCTGCTCTCCTCATGGAGCTAGTCCTGAGCACTGGCTGTGGTAGGGATTCAGGGCCTCGCTCTCTCTGCTGTGATACAGCCTTTTTTCCCGTAGGTCCAAGCTGAAGATGGAAGACATCAAAGAAGTGAACCAGGCACTGAAGGTACTGGCTTGCTAAGAACCACCTCACTGTCGCTTGCGCTGATTGCCTATGTGCTTGTACATTTAAGCATCTCAACAGTCAGGTGAGAGTGTGTGGCTGAGGCAGTGGTGGTGATGACGTATTTATAGAGAAGCCAAACGCTGCTCAGAAATGTGTCCCTCAGCTGAGAGGACAATGATGACAGGTGGCAGGGCCAAAGCTGAACCTAGGTCTTCTGATTCCAGTTCTTCCGCCATGAGCTGTGCTTTGACAATAGGCCTAATGGGTATTCCTAAAGGGAAGCAGGTGGCAGAGGGGAGAGACCCTCTCTCGCAGATGTCTTTAAACAGTGAAAACCAGGCCCTTCTGTTGAAGTCAAGAGGCCAGAGGCCAGCCAGCCCCACTGCAGTGCCCTGTGCCATTGCTAGGAAGCACTCCAGCCAAACCCTGAGTTGGGCCAGGTTTCCACACTGTCTTGGGGAATGACACATTCCACTGAAGAGCAGGAGCTTGCAGGTGGCCCAGTGCGTGTGCAGGTGCCAGGCTGACCTGTAGGGCAGAGAGCATGGGGGGGGGGGCAGACGTTTGCGGGCAGAGCAGCCTGGCTCTCGGGATGGCCTTGCCTGCAGGAACGTCTGCCCTTTGGACTCAGCGGTGCCTGGCAGCAGTGCAAAAGCAGCCCTTTCGCACACGGCACTCTTCCACCTGGGGCACAGCAGGGACCCTGATGTCTCCGGGCATCAAACAGCAGCCTGAACTTCTAGGTAACATCAGTTTCACAGCATCAGAGGGAGGATAAGAATCATAAAACAGGACTCTAGAGCCCCCAAAGCTCTTTGACGTAAGGATGAAGTCCTGGGTACACACTGGCAGCCCCAGGGGGTGTGCGACTAGTTCAGTCATGAGGATCTGTTGGTCAGCAAGAAAATCACTTCCAGCAGATGCAGACAGGCCAGAAAAGTACCTCATGCTTCTGGAGCACCCATGTCCCTAAGGCTGAATAAATCATAGGCGCTCCTTCTCCCTGATAAAGCCCTCCTAAGAGCCACCTTTCAAATCCTCGGCCCCCTCCTGTGTGGAATGGAATCCCTCCTGTGTGGAATGGAATCCGTCTGCTTCCCAGGGCTGTTCGGGGATAGGGCTTTGGCCTGTATGGAGAAGGGCTCCCTCAGGCCCATGGGACATGGTGCCTGCTGTCCATTGCCTTCTGTCTCTCCACAGGGATCAGCGTCACCAAGTGTCCTAATCTTACTCAGATTTGGCCCTTCTCCCGCACCTGCCAGTCCAGCTAGTCACTTCGGGCAGTGTCTCAGGCAGGGTCTGGGGTTGCAGGCACCAGAAGCTCACTCTACTTACTTCAATCAAAGGGAACTGATTGATTGAAAGTGGGAGTGCGCCTGAGTGAGCGGATGCTGGAGACTGCCTTGAGGCCCCAGGGCAGCCTGCAGAGCCCAGGAGGCGGAGCACAGAGCTAGGACACGGGACTCCGGCTTCAGCCCAGCCAGGGAAGGGCCCTTCATGACAGTCACATCTGATGGTGAAGAAACAGTGCCTCATTAGGAAACAAGTGCTATGAGGGACAATGGATGCAGCCAGAACACAGCTACTCACTCATCAGGGGCTTAGACAGAAAATGGATTCTAGAATGTCCTTTCCTCTTCAGGGCCATGCCTGGCTGAAAGATGACGAAGCGACACACTGTAGGCAGTGTGAGAAGGAGTTCTCCATTTCCCGGAGGAAGGTATGTAGGGCTCCACCCCCCACCCCACCCCCCAGTGCCCTGAGTCATTCGTTGCCTGCTGGGATTCCCCTTTCTCTGGTTCCAGAAGCCTGCATCAGACCAGGCTCACTGCCCCATGACTGCTCACTGGTTGGCAGATGGGCAGCCCCACCTGCCCTGCTTGCCCATGCAGATGGCTTTCTATCCTGGCACCCTTTTTCTAGGAGGCCCTGGCCAGTCATAGGCCCCTGGTCCGCAGCACAGCCTTCAGTGATTGACAGTGATTTGGTGGAGATGGGGCTCCTTGTGTGCGGAGCTGCTCTAGAGGAGTGTCACTGAAAATTCTCTGTATGCGGCAGGACCAAAATCTGCTCAACTGAGGCAAAAACAGTATCTATGGGGAATCTGCAGGGCAGCAGGTCACCAAAAATTCACTGGTGATCTAGGCAGGGTGCTTGCCCCTGCCTTTCAAGATCAGTCACCCTTGGGTCCAGGGTTAACAGTCTCACCAAGACCAGCTGGGCAGGGGAAGAGTTGGGTTTAAGCAAAACTGAGTGCTAAAGGAAACACGGCCAGTGCCACCCGCCTTTCCTGCCACATCCATGTTTTGTGTGGTCCCATTAACAGCCTCGCTCTGTGGAAAAGCAGCCACGGCAGTGCCTTGCAGTAAACGCAGAGCTATGAACCACGTCCTGAGGCCGCCTTTGAGGTCTCATGTGCGGCTCCTGTCTGTGGAGCCGCAGGAGCAGAGGCTGCACAGGGGCTCATCTCAGTGTCTTACTAGGCACGCAGGAAACCTGTTTAGAAAGCCAAAGACCCACTCCCACCACCTTGGAATGCAGCAATCAAAGAGAACGAACCAGACCCTTACTGCAACATGGACTAGCAGCTCACTGGCTTAGTGAGGAAGTACAGCAAAAGTTCACTAATTTTTTGTCTTTAAAAGATCCCAGGCCAGGTGTGGTGGCTCAAACCTGTAATCCCAGCACTTTGGGAGGCCGAGGCGGGTGGATCACGAGGTCAAGAGATCGAGACCATCCTGGTCAACATGGTGAAACCCCGTCTCTACTAAAAATACAAAAAATCAGCTGGGCATGGTGGCGCGTGCCTGTAATCCCAGCTTCTCAGGAGGCTGAGGCAGGAGAATTGCCTGAACCCAGGAGGCGGAGGTTGCGGTGAGCCGAGATCGCGCCATTGCACTCCAGCCTGGGTAACAAGAGCGAAACTCTGTCTCAAAAAAAAAAAAAAAAAAAAAATCCCTATTTGCACACAGCCCCTGACCACTCCATAGAAACTTAAGAATCCATTCCAAACAAATGATGCACTTCTGCGTTAGGAAGCAGGGAGTGTGTGCAGATGGCTTTTCCCTGGGTGTCTCCTGACTGCCTTTTTTCTGTTCTCTAGCACCACTGCCGGAACTGTGGCCACATTTTCTGCAACACCTGCTCCAGCAACGAGCTGGCCCTGCCCTCCTACCCCAAGCCAGTGCGGGTGTGTGACAGTTGCCACACCCTGCTCCTGCAGCGCTGCTCCTCCACGGCCTCCTGAGCGTCCATCCTTGGGAGCACAGCCTCAGATAGTGCCAAACTCTGTGGGTCTCCAGGGGCTTGGGAATTGTATGCATTCCCGAGAATCAAAGGAAAGAATCAAATTCTTGCCTGGCCACTCCAGAAGACAGCATGCAGGAACCAGCAGCTCTCACCGTTCTGTGATTTATACAGAATTCCTCTGGATGGAAACTTCCATCTTACTTCGTTATATCATGGCTCTGGTTCAGATATAACTTCATGACTTTGCTACTATCATTTTTCACTTTTCAAAGAATTTAACCTGTTTTGCAGTTCAGTTCTGCTAGTGAGTCATCAATTTTCCTCTCCCACCTCCCTTCTAAAAACCTGATTTGTGCACGGCGTTTGACACATGGGGGGTCTTGGCAGTGTGCCTTCTCTGCTTCAGTCGAGATCTGCCATTTCATGCCCTTGTGAATACCTATCATTGGCCCTGCAATAAAATCATTTATTTTTCACTGGTGCATGCAGAAGCTTGCGTCAACTTCCCTCTCGCCCTCACCTGCAGCCTCAGAGCAGCCCCTCAGGCAGTCAGAGGCCCAAGCCCCGTGTGAGCAGGAGGCTGCTGGTGCTGTCCCAGGGCCTGCAGAGCTGTGCCTGGTAAGCCAAAGGCAATTTGCAGTGTAAGCCTGTTGACGAAGTCCAAGAGTAGTTCACGTGTGTAATTGGGAGAGTGTGACTGGTGAGAGACACCTGTGGAAAAGCATCTGCCAGGCAGCCTCTCTCCTGTTTTTGAGACAGTCTGTCACCCAGGCTGGAGTGCAATGGAGTGATTTCAGCCTCAGCCTCCTAGGTTCAAGTGATTCTCCTGCCTCACCACCACCACCATGCCCAGCCAATTTTTTGTATTTTTAGTAGAGATGGGGTTTCACTGTGTTGGCCAGGCCGTTCTAGAACTCCTGACCTTGTGATCCACCCACCTCAGCCTCCCAAAGTGCTGGGGTTACAGGTGTGAGCCATGAACACAGTGCTAGAACTGGCTCTCAGGGTAGGGAGAACGGCATTGTCAGGACCAACCAGCCAAGCCTTCCAGGCTTCCTCCTCACCCACCTTCTGTACCAGGCGGCCCCAAACTGCCGCCCCCTGAGGCCATTGATCCGGTCCCCCCCGCCCCCCGCCGCACTTCAGGAAGGGGCACCTCTATCATTGGCAGTCAGTGAGAGGAGCACAGTATGTGGCGGCCCTCCAGCGGTCTGAGGGACAGTGAACTGGCCCCGTGTAAAACGTTTGGGAACGCCTGGTGTATATATACATCTTGCCTACCACCCTACCTTCACTTCCCACAGGCTCCCTACCAAATCCAGGCCTCAGGCTTCCAGCCTTTTTTTTCTCCTTTAATTAAAGAGATGGGGTCTCTCCCTATGTTGCCCAGGCTTGACTGCAGTGCCTTTTCACAGGCACAATCCCACTACTGACCAGCACGGGAGTTTTGACCTGTTCCATTTCCGCCCTGGGCCTGTTCACATCTCCTTAGGCAACCTGGTGGTCTCCTGTATACGAATACAAATGGCTGCTGTCCAGGAAGCGAGAAGCATATTTGGGAAAGGGGGAATCCTGACTCCAAAGTCTCAACGCCTTTTCTCCGCAGTACCTTTACCCAGCCTGAGAAACGAGGGATACATACTCTTAAGGCAGTGCTTCCCATGTCGACTGAAACAGGGGCGAGTGGTCAGGGTTTTGTTGTTTAAAATGCAGATTCTGGCCGGCCACAGTGGCTCACGCCTGTGATCTCAACACTTTAGGGAGGCCAAGGCGGGTGGATCACCTGAGGTCAGGAGTTTGCGACAAGCCTGGCCAATGATGAAACCCTGTCTCTACTAAAAGTATCAAAAAAATTAGCTGCGCCTGGCAGCAGGCACTTGTAATCCTAGCTACTCAGGAGGCTGAGGCAGGACAATTGCTTGAACCCAGGAGGCAGAGGTTGCAGTGAGCCAAGATTGCACCATCCACTCCAGCCTGGGCAACGAGCAAAACTCCATCTCAAAAATATAAAATGTAGATTCCAGCTGACAGGGTCAGGAGGTTGAGTCACTGCAGACAAGCTACGGAGCACAAGATTCCAAAGAACCGTAATGCTTCTAGACTCCTTTCTGAGATGGAAGTTTTGCTCTTGGTGCCCACCCAGGCTGGAGTGCAATGGCACAATCTCAGCTCACTCCAACCTCCGCCTCCTGGGTTCAAGCGATTCTCCTGCCTCAGCCTCTGGAGTAGCTGGGACTACAGGCATGCACCACCACACCCAGCTTATTTTGTATTTTTAGTAGAGACTGGGTTTCTCCATGTTGGTCAGGCTGGTCTCAAACTCCCGACCTCAGATAATCCACCCACCTCAGACTCCCAAAATGCTGGAATTGGTATTACAGGCATCAGACACCACATCAAGCTTTTTTTTTTTTTTTTTTTTTTTGGACAGTTTCGCTTGTCACCCAGACTGGAGTGCCATAGCAAGATCTCAGCTCACTGCAACTTCCACCTCCCAGGTTCAAGCAATTCTCCTGCCTCAGTCGCCCAGTAGCTGAGATTACCAGTGTGCGCCAACACGCCAGGCTTATTTTTGTACTTTTAGTAGAGATGGGTTTTCACTGTGGTGGGCAGGCTGGTCTCGAGCTCCTGACCTCAGGTGATACACCCACCTCAGCCTCCCAAAGTGTTGAGATTACAGGTGTCAGCCACTGCGCCTGGCCTAGACTCATTTCTTAAAAGCCATAGGGCTCTGGATTTAGCTTAAACTTACTCCAAGTTCCTACTTATTAGTCCCTTCTCTAACAGGGCAAGTTTTTTTTTTTTTTTTTTTTTTTTTTTTTTTTTTTTTGAGACGGAGTTTTGCTCGTTACCCAGGCTGGAGTGCAATGGCGTGATCTCAGCTCACCGCAACCTCCGCCTCCTGGGTTCAGGCAATTCTCCTGCCTCAGCCTCCTGAGTAGCTGGGATTACAGGCACGCGCCACCATGCCCAGCTAATTTTTTGTATTTTTGGTAGATGGGGTTTCACCCTGTTGACCAGGATGGTCTCGATCTCTTGACCTCATGATCCACCCGCCTCAGCTTCCCAAAGTGCTGGGATTACAGGCGTGAGCCAACGCGCCCGGCATAACAGGGCAAGTTTTATCCCTAAATGTACCAGTTAACTAAAGGACTCGGAGAAGGAACCTTCAAGCTTTCTCAACACGGGGCCTCAGTACCAAACTACATTAACCCAGTAAGATCTCAGGCGCAGCACCAGGCTTGGAACATAGCTCAACTCAACACTGCCTACCCACTGAGAACTGATCTCTCTAGACATGCCTAAGACAAAACCAACAATACATTCCAGACCTTCCCCTCCATTGGGTTCCAGTCCTGGTAAGGCATGTAGTCAAGGTAGGATCTGCAAGGCCCTCTCCGTCGATGTCTCCTGCATGCACTGCTTCTGTGGGCAAATGGTTATAAACAACCAACACTAAGCCCCACTCTGTCCACCCTACCTAGCCCTACCCTCAAAACAAACTCAAGAAAAGCTTTTGTGTAAACCACAGGAAAAGAGATAACTTATCCACACTTTGCTTTAAAGTGCACAAGCCTGTTATATGACAGCCTAGCCTGGACTCTGCATTCTAATCTCATTATCAGGGACTTGAATCTGAAGGGATAAGAGTAGTGGCAGTTCCCAAACTGCAGTGCCCCTAAGCATCTACTGAAGGAACTCTGCAGTCACACTTTTCAAGTTGATTTAAAGCACCTTGAACACTTGCTAGCATAATGTTGGCACTCCAAACTACCACAACAGGGATACATTTGAAGGGTTCATTTAAACTCGTCACGTTTGCTCTCAATCACTACCTATCATTCTACCTGAAGAGGTTTACATGGAATGTTGATCCCAAGTGGAACTGATTTTTAGAAATTGGCCAAAAATAGGAAGTTCAAAACCTTGATTGGTAACCATCTGTGAAGGCTGGGCATGATGGCTCATGCCTGTTAATCCCAGCATTTTGGGAGGCCCCCCGAGGTCAGGAGTTGGGAGACCAGCCTGGCAAAACCCCATGTCTCAATTAAAAATACAAATTTCAGCCAGGTGTGGTGGCGGGCAGATGCCTGTAACCCCAGCTACTTGAGAGGCTGAAACAGAATTGCTTGAGCCCAGGAAGTGGAGGTTGCAGTGAGCTGAGACTATGCCACTGCAATCGAGCCTGAGATGACATTGAGACTCCACCACAAACAAATCTTGTGAGCTAGCTCCTTCTAGAAGACACCCACATATTCATCACACCTCCCTTGCCTCTGGCACTTCCCAGGCATGCACGAAGTCCTCCTAGACATGCAGGCCATGCAGTGAGGGCACTGGTGCCTCCCGCTTTGCTTCGTGCAAGTGCTTGACAAGTTATAGGCAGTTCAGATCAGATCCTGTGCAGCCAAATGACATACGGCCCCTTCCACAAGGGCCCCAAAGCTGAGTTTACCTTCATTTGCACTGGAGGGAAGTCTGAAGACCTCTATACAACAGCCTCAGCTACCAAGCCTCTCTGCCACAGCCAGAGATGTGGCCCTAGGCCCCACGTGAGCACAGAGCACCAAGACTCAGTCCACAGGACACTGAAGCAAAGACAGTGCAGTTTTTAAAAGGAGGATTTATTTGACAAGTTTCACTTAGCGCAATATACCTAAAAGGAAATCACAATACAATGAAAGATTTAAATCAAGGCCTCAGAATTTCATACAAACACCAAGACCAAAATCCTAAAGAACTGGTATTGCGTCTCAAATTTTTCCCATTAACTTAAAAAAAGCTTAAACTTACGTGCCTTACAGGTTATTAAATGAAACTAGAATTAACAAACATGCCAAAATGTTTCACTTTTAATTGTAGACACAGCTCCTATACTGAGTTTAAAAAAAAAAAAAAAAAGCATGTCTTTCAACATGCATCTGAACAGTGTTCAATGCAAAGGGTAACACTTAACATAATTCAACTGCTTTTACCTAAATACGCTTACTGCTTAAGTATATCCTACAATATAACTAACTTGAGAAAAGCTGGAACTTGTTTAACAGTTATAGTTTACTCAGCTTCACTGTTACATCCTAGGTAAGTATTGTATTCAAAAATACTGAGCCTTAATTCATAACAATCCTGATTTCCACTTAGAGAGAAAGCATAAATCACAAGCTTGTATTGCAGAAACTGTTAAACTGAAGTTTTGTTTTTTTTTCTTTAAAAAAAGTTGACCAAGAGTCAGTGATCAGGATCAATCAATTACATTCCCCATCCACCACTCATACTGGACATGCTAGACATCCCTCCCATTCCGTTCACGCCCATAGATGCACGGCTTCCACTACTGTAGTAGCTGCTGTTCATTGCTCCTTGGCTACCTGCAAAGAGACCAATTTGACAAGTTAGGAGCAATGTCAGACTATCAGTCAAATAAAATATAGTATTCCAAGAAAAAGTTTAAAAAGTATACGAGTATAAATGGCTG